TGTCGTAATTCAAGATTGAACGAAAACACCAGTTGTTTGCGGTCGGGTAGAAATAGGTTCGACTGAACGAATTGCGTTTGTAAGCTTGTTCTTGTAGGAGGTTAGATCCGTATTCATTGAAGAGGATGAAGGATACACTAATTCTCGAAGGTTCGTACCATAAACGAGTTGAGACGCAGCGTGTTCAATGGTAGGCCTCGTTCGGAAGCGAGTGATTCCTAATTTTGCGGTCAGACAACGGGAAAGTTCAGATTCGAACTGGCATCCACGATCGTTAGTGATTGTTGTTGAGCAGCCGAAGTTCGACAAAGACGCGGGCCACTGTTTCGGCAGTAATGTGCTTGGTAGGTACTGCTTCTGGCCATCGAGTAAAACGGTCTACTCAGGTTAAAAGTTAAGAATATCCATTCGAATCTGCAAAGGTCCTAACAAATCCAGATGAACATGGTCTATGTTTTGTCTAATAACTTTAGATTTCTGGCAGCTTACACAGGAGTGTGCCTACTCCCTCACATCTTTATTCATACCAAGTCAGCAAAACCGTTCTGATATGAGCTTGATGGTTGCACGAACACCTGGATGAGAAAGTTTGTGCAACGTATTGAAGACGTTGCGTCGATAATGTTTCGGCACGATTGGGCGATCCCTACCTGTAGATGTGTCACACAGTAAGGTTTTCTTACCTGTTTCCATCTGCTTGATGCGCAGTTTAAGGGTTGTTGACGATAACTCGTGCTGAAGATCAGTGTCTTCTTTTGGAAGCTGGGCGAGTTTCAGAAGGCCGATTCCTTGGAAACTGTTCAACGACGTTATTCGAGAAAAAGCGTCTGCGTTAACATTGTTTGCTCCAGAAATGTGTTGAATATCTGAAGTAAACTGCGAGATGTAGTCCAATTGTCGAGACTAATGATTAATTAATACCTAATGACTGCCTGATTTCGAATTGTAAATATAATGCGTTCGTTTGTGCTCACCTAGCTCTTTGTGGCTTGAATTACGTTATTTTGGGAATTTCTAGTTCGTACAATGTTTGAAATACTCCTAATTATCACAAATGTTCATATGAAAACTAGTCCCTTTTCACAGTTCACTGAGAGCATAATAGTTGTCCGATGCCACACACAAATCATTGAAAGCCTGTAAGACTGTAGTGTTTGCATGAACTAATGATTTCGGCGAGACTCTAATTTATGGACTAGCCAATCAGAAGCGTTTGAGAGATTTCAAGGTCACGGTGCCAACTGCAGTGCCTAATGCTAACGTACTATCAGTTCACAAGGAATTTCGTACAAAACGTGATAATTGAGCGGCTGTAACAAATATAACGGCAAGACTATAATTTGTGGACGAATCAATCAGATATAACATAAAAGATTTCGGATTTTGGCGTGAACGCTATTCATCCATTTGACTAAATAGATTTCTGGAATTATAGCCGACGTCAGTTCGTGATGAAAACTTTATATATAATTCCTAACTAAGGCAAATTATGACAATTATTGCGAACTGGATAATAAAAGCACCAGTAACACTGGCTGCAGCCATGTACGACAATATATATAGGATGATTGGAGAGCATACAGACTCCTACATACGCTTGGCTATGTGCATGGTATCGTTATCCACAAGTGGACTTTTGTGTACTCAACAACCGGAGTGCACACAAACAATATTGAAGTTATGTGGTCAAGGCAAAAGCTTTTGAAACTTAATCATCGCTCCAGTGACTGACTATTTTGTAGCCCCATGGATGATTTCTTCTACTGCATGCATTACAATTTTAGAACCTCTGAACCCATTTCTAACCTTGACGAGATTTTGAACCACATATAAGAAGTGTATCCACTTTATTTCCTTGGTTTTGTATAATATATTTTTACTCTATACTTACTGTTTGGTGATTGACTAACATTTCTCAAGGTCACTTAAGATTCGCTCAAAGGTCGTCCGTGAATTATATGGCACAGTTAAGCTGTTAGGCCGTGGGTTTTCGCGCACATGTAACATATTGCCGTGGATTTTTTGTGTCGTTATTTATCAGCTATTAACAACCTTTTTTCCATCGCACGTCAATTTTCGTAATGTTTCTGCTTGTTACATAGTTTTTATTCCAGTTTATTAGCAGTTTAACGTATTTTTTGCTCACCAGCTAAGTGGATCTTTAGTAAGCCTAATATGGTTATTCGTAACAATACAAACTCAAGCAAGTACGATTCGCCATTTTTCAAGTCATAAAATAGGTCACAGATTGAGTTTTCAGGAAAATAAGCTTTAAAACCTATTACATATGGTTCACCTCTTTGATTATGGTGATGATGAACATGGATGTTGGTAGTTGTTTATAAAATGTAGGTACAAGCAGTTAAGCGTTAATCCATTTATGAATATTACATAACTTGTTAATACTTAGCCATAAACAATTATACCCATTATAAGTATCATCGTTTTGTACTGAAGTGACATATTATTATGTAACGTATTTGAGAAGAATTATGTGAGTAACAATTGACGTTGATAGTTCTTTCCATCCCTTTCTGAGCGTATACAGGAATAGTATATAACAACACTGGAAGTGCCACATTAAGTAGTCACAAAGTCTCCATAAGTAAAACGATGCGCGGTTCTTTTGAGCATGGTGACAAAACCATCTCGTAGTTAATACTGATTTATGATGTGTCTGTTATGGGGTTCACGATTAAGTTTCTGTGATTTCGAGGATGCGGTCGGCAGATGCAGCCAGCTCGTCTACAGCGTTGTTTTGAAACGAGACCAGCACAGCTTGCACATGTTGAGGAAGTTTGGATAAGAAAAGTTGTTTCCACAGGCGATCATCGAAGGTTCTTTGGCCAATAACTTCTTTCATTCTTTGCAACATGTCTGTGGCAAAACCGTGCTGCAGGTTGATGTTATTAAGGAGTTTGTCTAACCTTTGTAGATCGGTTAGATCTCCGCGTTTAAGAATGGATCGTTTAAGAGTTTCGTATGGTTCAGAAACATCACTAGTAAACATACTAGGTGTTACGTACCTGTTGAATTCGCGCGGTAGTGCCTTGACTACTGAGAGCAGTTGTGCATGTGTGTCGTTCACGCCGTGCTCGCAGAAGTCGGCTTCTGCGTAACAGAACCAGGCTTCGATGTTGTTTGGCCGGAAGGGCTTTAGTTGGAACGAAGGTGGGGACATAGTCTTTAACTTAAATACCTTGGGTGTCTGTTCAGTCATGGTGAGATACCAAGTACGAGAATGAACGAGTGAAAAATATATATATCCAAAAACACGGGAAAGTATATCACGATGTACAAAAAATTAAAATAAGGCAATGATATATAAAATCCCAAAAAGCAACAGACTCACAGTTTGCGATTTGGTGTACCAGATCACGTCGGGATCACCGATGAAGATGCCACAGGTATTCGGAGTTTGACAACGCTTTAACCAGTAACACTTTCTAATATGAAGCGTACCCACCAAGTGAAATCAAAAGACAGAAGCGAGGAGGTTCGAAGATATATTTGATAGGCCATCAATATATCGAGGATCGTCTGATCTAATCTGGCTAGCAGTTACAGTACATGTTGAGCACGGCGTTCCCACACGTGATCTGGTGCGGTTGCATGACCGAGCACCTTCAGCTATATGAGTCCATTCAAACTAATGTGGTCAGCGTCCAACGTCGAAAACTTACAGAGCTATTTATTTTGAGGATTTATTTACCGCTAGAAGACTATAGGCTTATCTTTTACTACATGCGAGTAGTCGAATTCGAGAATTCGCTGCTTAGTGGGGTAGTTCAAGCGGCTTTTCAGAAATCCTTTAAGGGGAAACGTATGGTATTTCTTAAGGACTACAGGAAGTATTTCACCATGATTTAACAATCCTTTATTCTCCTATATCATCGAACATACCTATGTTCCTAAACACAGGCACCAGTGATCCACTGATACTAGATACGGAAGCTATTTAAGCGAAAGTTTCTTCTATTACTTCCGCAATTGTTTGAACCATTTAGTTCTCTGGTGCTCTAGTCGAATCTTTAGCCCGCGGTGTGTGATAATTGCGTTACGAAGGCCTGAAGCCTTTGGTGTAAGTGATGTATTTTTGCTGTGAAAATTGCATGAAGAGTGTCAATGAGCGCTTAAAAAATGGTAAAGTATGTGGTTAGTGTTTTGTAGTATAAACATTCATCTTCTGATGTTTTTCTGTCATTTGATTTATTGCATCAGTAATAGTGGTACTTCGAAGTACCACTAAACGATCGTTTAGTTTTAATAATTATTTTTGACGGTCTAACAGTGTATCTTTCCATCCCAGATATTCTTGAAGCATTTTACTCGGTTTTTCAAAAATTCGAAGGAATTCGTTATAGCTGTTATCTAGGACTGATCATTTGGTAGGACATTCTCATAAGGTCAAAAACCGAAATCAGATAGTTTATTTCTTGAGTTTCGCTTCGAGTCACAACTAGTCGAAATTCTCCAGAAATTACGTGCATGGTGCTTTCTATCGTATGGATTCGCCGACCCACGTGTTTATACTAAAAATACTGCATCTCGTTGAGTAGAGTAACATTAGTACAACTATTCCAACATAGTGCAATCCACCTTGGATTTTCACTATCCACAAAATAGCTTTTAACACTATGTCGTCGGAAGACTTTAGTCCTTTTAGGGACCACTCTATTTGTTGATTTTTATCTGACACTAACACTTGCTTGTAACGTATAACCGCACTTGACTTAGTGAGACTAACGGAGGTGCTTTTGTAAGCATTAAGTTTTCCTTAAACTCCGTACATCTTCCGGCACACTAGTCCAGTCGGTTTGTAGATTTCCAAGGCGAATGTTTAGTGTTAAAAAATCAGTCTTATGCTCTAGCTCGCTGAATAATCTCTAGAATTTTGTGCTGAAAATAGCTCCCGAAGCTATCAAAAGTACAGATAAGACACATATCAGTCATCAGGTTTTAAAATAGAATCTCATTAATCTTCGCAAAGTAGTGTTTTTGCCCCCAAATGCCCTGGTACGGCTGAGAGTGGGGAGAGTCCGCTCTCCCTCTCGAAATGCTCTCACATGGCCACGCGTATATAGCCCCTGCCAGGGAAGTCCTACTCACTGCCTTCTCGTGGCGGGGGTGTTGTTTACAAAAATGAGAGGACGAAAAGCGAATGTCCGGCGCTTTAACCGGATCCCAAACCAATGGTGCACATGGGCTCCAGTATCCTGCGGGAACAAATGGCGTATGAACCAATCGTTGGTCACCGGCTACCATGGGACTGCATCTCCTTACGATGCTCCACTGCCTTGTGAATCAGACGTTCAGGTCGAAGGCTCGGGGTGTGGCCCCCTAAGAAAACCACCTGCTTCGGTTTGGGCACCCGGGCAGTATCACAGCCCTCACACAAATCAATTGAGATTTGTGTGGCGCATATGTATTTGGTGCCTCCCTGTACCTATACTTTTGTGTTAAAATAAAATAAAATAATTTTTTGCCAAAACGACGAGGATCGTATCTTATTAAACATAACTTTTGTGACACCAATTAACTACATGGGTTATCATCTAGTCTTTTTTGTGGTTAGATTATCAGACTGTCGATGGACTTAACTATTTGGTAGATTCAGCCTTTTGAGTGATCACTCCGTAAGATTGCATCATTTCGAATTTACAGTCGATCAACATTCTGTTAATTGTTTTAACCATTGATTTTTGGTTAGATTAGTCGAAATCATGTTTACACTACGAATTTCTACCTTAAAATAATGTTCTTCGTCCACCGTTTTGTAGATTGTCTCAGGAATGGATAAAATAGGTGTTCACATATTTGTCCTCACGGTTATAAACGGAGAGTTAAGTTGCATCATTTACCTTTAGATTTTCCATATATAACACCGTAAATGCTCGTATAAAGCGTCAGTCAACTACGATGTAGGACCAGGCACACACATATGCATCGGTCCAAGTTTGTAACAGATGTGTCATAATACATATCTACCATTTCAAGGAAGTTGTAAGTTCTGGTTTTACGGACGATATAGGATTACTGTAAGGGAACAAGCAGACAGCATAAATTTCAGTTAATCAAAGAGCGATAAGCTTTGTTGTGCTAAGTCCATATTTTGAGCTAATTAAGCCTTATGTATCTTTTACTAAGTTGCTTGGGATCTACGTTACCTCAATCTTTCTAATGAAATATTGAGTGATCGAATTTGTCTATTTGAGGTAGTGGGACGAGTACTTTTTGGGTGTGGTTAACTTGATTTATTCTCATACAAATAAAATCTTAGTGACAAGCATCAATCTGAGTTGGTGTGTGGCTGTTTTTTTTATGAATAAGATGAAATCACTACCCGCCGACCCGAGTCGTATAAGTAGGTGAAGACTTTAAGATAGGTTTTGTTGTGATGGAAATATAATGATTAAGCAGCCTGTTTGGCATGCTTGTATTGTTTGTTTAAATATTCACATTGATGTTTAAGACTACAATTGATCAGTTTCTTACTAGTATATGTGCATCGTGCGCAGATTACCTCGATATTGCCTTGAGTCACAAGCATTATAAACGAAGTTCGATGGTGGCTAGTAGTGGAATTTAAGTCACGCGTTTCGTCCTATTTGGGACTTGTCAGTTGGATGTACCTGGTGGTTATCGGGACTCATTAGCTAAGTGGATAACGCGTTGACGTTTGAAGCGGACGGTGCTGGTTCCGAGTCTCGGGGTGAGTATCAACTCTAGGATGAAGGTGATTTTGTCGTTTTTATTTCTAGATTCAAAATAGCCGTTTTATGTTCGGCCTTCATGTGCTTTGGTTTACTTATAGGTATGGAAAGACTTGATTCTCTACTTTGTCGATTAGAAAAAGTAACTATTCTTCTTGAAGCAGCCGCCGTTAACAATATGTATCGGACATCACCAATTAAAATATCTTCGGGTAAGTGAAGTTTTCATAGTTATTCTTGTATCTCAAGAAAGTGGAAATCCTTCATCAATCAAGGAATTTCATGAAATAGTCACTGGCCCTTTATCGGAATACGTACGCAATAGTTTCGAAATTGGAGATATTGTTGGAAATCACGTAGGTTTGATTCTGTATTTAATCACTTCTACGGGATTATTTTTTAACAGGCCTGCATGGTTAAACAGTGTTTTTTGATGCAAGAAGGAATAATCAAATTGGCAGCTGAATGCTCAAAACCTTCTGACTCTGAACTTAAGCTTATTATAGCACCATTAGGAAATCTAATAGAAGAAGTTATCGTAATTTGTTAGTACGTCGTTAACTTGTTTTCTTTTATAGAAATTTAAGGATAGTAATCGAAGCAGTAACTTTTTTAACCATCTTTCAGCTGTGGCGGAGTCTGTGACAGCTCTAGGCTGGTTAAATGATGTAAGTTTTGTTTTTAAGCCTTTAAACTATTCAGACTGTTACACCATCGGCGTACGTTAAAACCATGCAAGAAGCTGGTGAATTCTTTACTAATCGTGCTCTTATGGAATACAAAAACAAGTTAGTTATTTATTAGGCAGTTTATAAATAGACTATTTTATGTTGCAAAGAGATTTATCTTGAGAGTTTGCTGGTATATATGTTTATAAATATATATGTACCTAAGTAATTGGCTTTCTGATGGTTTCGATAGACTATATTCTTGGGAAAATTTCGAACACCAACTGATAAGGAAGGGGTTGGTTGCCAATCAAACCAATGACAACCAACGGTGTGTTATTCTAGCTGTTATATATGAACAACCCTAAGTTATGGCAAACGACACCGTTACTTAATTGAAAAAGTTTCGTTTGACAAAGTCAAAACTACATTTTTTGGCATACTTAACTTCCTTTTTCAACACCGTCAGATATATGTTTGATGAGAAGCAGTATGTTGCTCAGCCGTAGCGTTACTGATAACTAGTATTCCCTTCGTTCTACTTCATGAATATCATTCGATAACTTTCGAAGTGTTGTTTTAAATCATAGAACACACACTGATCAATTTAAAGATTCCGAATGTCATATATATTTTGCCACGAACGTTGTTATGTAATCTTTCCGCTAATATCACAGTTATTTTCAAAGCCTATTGGAGAGAGTTCTGGCCCCAGCAATCAAGTTGCACTGTGTAATTGATTTATAATGAAGTTAATCTGTTCCCTGTACAATGCTATAATTAACACGTTGGTTAAATATGATGAACATGTGTGGTTTTTATTATGGCATGCGTTGTTGTTTCTCACGAAGAATAGTCACATTTAGGTAAATCTAGTTCGTTAAATCATATCTGATTTTTTTGCAAAACCGATGGGGTGTCTTGTTGGATTTTTTCTTATTGTTTACGCCCAAATTTCAGCGAGTTTATTCATCCTTTTAGTATTTACACAATTCTTAAACTTTTTAAAACTCGTAGCTAATAAAAATCCAGTGACTCAACCAGCTTTTACATGCGTCAATACTGATTACAATATGTGTGATTTATTTTACATACGCCATCTAAGTTGTCTTGCATATTTAGCATAGTTGTTGATAACAAGGCTGGCTTTGACCAGCGGAACTATGGTCAGTCTGTTAGCGAAGTTCAAGATTTTAAGAGTAAAAGTGATTAAATATTTTGACAATATATATTGAGTATGGTTGTGTTGGATTGTTTTTATACAGAGCACAAGGTTATGACGGATTACTCTTATTATCTCTGGGTTATAATTTCTTCTGCGAAGAAAGACCTGAAGTTTCATCCCTCGTTTTTTCAACAATTAATTGAAGCAATTTAGCACGTTACAGTCACTACTACGCTATATAACTGTCCAAATCCGTGAAAAATCAATTAAAGGACCTTTTGCGATAAGATCAAAGTGCGATAATCACGGATTATTGGAAATCAGATATTCATAAGAGCTCATACTAATCTGGCTGAAAATCAAATGTAATGTTGAACAAATTCAATGGGTTTTAGAATTTATTTGAGACAATTCATGGTTATATGGTTTGTTTTTTAAAGATATTGATATTGAAGATTTCTTATTCAATTTATTAATCTCCTTCATTTGTTCATGAAACATAACCATATCTATTTTCTATTGTTTACTGTAGCGACACAATTCATCGTGCTTGGAAAAAATCTTTAATGTCTGTTTGGACTGCATTACAAGTTTATGTTAACAAACATCATACCACTGGTTTGGTTTGGAATGCTCGTGGTAAACCAGCTGTAGCATCGAAGCTGTCTAAGTCTTCGCCTACTCGTGAAGTTAATTCCAATTGTTCTGCACCATCACCCCCTGTACTTACAGCTGCTCATTTAGCTGCAATGTCATTGGTGTGTGTGTGTGTGTGAATACGATTATCTTTTTGTTTCATGGAAATGTGTCCATTAAAAATTAATTTGATACATATTTTATTCAGTAGTTTTTAGAATCTTTAGATTGTGAACACTCATGATTGTCATCGATGATTCGGTTGTCCACTCATTTAAACCATTAGACTTGGCCACATTACTCGTGCTGTTTCTCTTATGATATGTCAATATCGTTGTCAGCCTGTACAGGACAATTGTAACTATCCGTTTATTTTGTCACTAACTTGTGTAATTTCATATCGCGTATCGGATCGAAGTGTTGCGTATGTATATGTGTCAATTATCTATTCATAAAATGCTGGATTCATTTCATTTTGAAATCATCTTAATTGAAAGGATATACCTATCAAATACTTTCCAGTAGTTATTCTGACTTATAAGATTTGATCATATTTTTATTGCTGTAGTTTCTATTCTAACACCAGAGATTTATAAAGTTAGTATCACCATCATTATCACCTAAATACATTAATATAAATCTTGTGGGAATGTTACTTGTTTGGGATAGGTTCAGTCAAATAGGGTTACATAGCTTGTTACAGACAATATTTTAGAGGATAATACTCCATAGTCTTCTTAACATTTGTCAAGTACTTGGTTTATATAAAATGTCACTATGCTTAGAGTAAAAGTGACACAAGAAGTGAGTTTAAACCTAAGTGAGCTGATTAACATATTTTGACACATCTTAATTGTTGCTTTACTGTGTTTCATATATTCTGCTAAATGTATTTAAAGTAGGTAATAAAATAAAATAACTTATAGTTAACTGGTCAAACGATAAGTGCATGTGATTGATTGTCCGTGAAACGACTTTGATTTCTCAGGAATGATAAGGTACACGATATTCGATACTGATACCCAGTCTTCAGATATATATGATATATATATATATATATATATATATATATATATATATATATATATATATATGCTAATTTAACTAGCAAATAAAAGCTTTCTTCTCACTCGTTTAGCTCGTGTATCTGTATCCTGAGTTTCAGTATCGAACATCGCACATCCTACTAATAACTACATAAACAGTTTAGATATATATGACCCTATAGGACATCATAGCATTGAGTGTATACTTTTGATTACTTCTTTTATAATTAACACAGATTTGTCGAAATAATGAACAACATTGGTTATGTTCTAAAATATATTGATCATTTACTGTTAAATAAAGCTGTTAAGTGCAATTAGGTCTGCCTTCCAGATTATACAGTTTATCAGGTCTGGAAACACGTTAGTATTCAGTGGGCCGTTGCTTTTTTTACGATCATTGGCTCAAAACTTGATTAAGTTGTGTGTTTATCTCTTATTCAAGTATATAGTTGACTTCATGCTTATAGACTAGACTATATATGTTTATGTTTATGCATATTTCAAGTAGTCTTACGATAAATTTTCGAAAATATCGTTTATTTCGTGTATAAATCTATCAAGACGATCGGGTTTGGTAATTATTGATATGCTTTATATCGTTAGTTAATAAGTTTTTCCATACTCATAATGTTATAACTCAGGATCGGTTATCATATTTCTGTTTAATTATTAATTAGCAAGCAAACGATAATTCGACACAGTCTGCTTTATTCGCTGATCTGAATCGTGGAACAGCGGTGACATCTAATCTACGCAAAGTGACTGATGATATGAAAACGCATAAAAATCCCAAACTTCGTGAAGGACCTATTATACATACATCACGAAATCAAGTGAACTCATCATCGAATAATCCCACTGTCCGACCACCATCTGAGAAAGAGCCGTCGGGGGCTGGATGTTTGGAACTAAGGGGTAACAGATGGATTGTAGTAAGTTTTATTTGTTAAAAATTTTATGTTATATTTTTGATGTTCTGTACTTAAATCCTTTTCATTATGATTAATCTCATTATCAAAATGTAGTGTTGTAAAATACTGTAACCGTTGAAACCTCATTATATGGAATAACATACTAACTTTCAGTACTTAGTAGTAAGTGCTCGAACAGCTTACACGTCAACTAGAGTCAAAATATTCGACTTAGTGTGCAAGCGAGGTTTACATTTGTGAAAATTAGACATTTATCATGAGTGGTCAGCCAGTTATTTACATGTTTGGACGTAGCACGTATAACATTTTGTGTCTGATATTATTAATATGGTTAGAGTTCATGAGAAATTTTAATAATTATAATAATAGTAATAATATTCTGGATTGTTTCATTTATAATAGTATTGTTATCCTCATTTTAAGATACAAATGTTCTAAGGAAATCAATATTTAAATTGTTTACTTGTGAAAAAAACAAGTAGAGATGTATATAATACATTTATCAGTATTTGTATTCAAGAAACGATAATTTCTCATAGGAAAAATGAAAAGATATGAACACCGATGTCGTTATTACAGGAGATTAGATCAAACATAGACATGTTCCTGAATTGTAATTGGTTAACTAAAAATTAGCAGAACACTAATTTAAATATCACTTCATCTATTAATATCTAGTGTAATAATGGTAGTCCTCACATAATAAATATTCATCTGTATAAGGTTGTGGAGATTGTTGGGTTTCACTGAAATCATGAGCCGATCAATGTTAGACCACAATTGAAAACTTTAAAGTATTGAATGGTCGTCTCATCGTATTGTGGGACTCCTCAGCAGTGCATATCCACAATTCCGCACTCGAGAATCAAACCCGGCACCCTCGGTCTCGCGCGTGAACGCTTAACCTTTAGACCACTGAGCCAACACTCAATGGAGTTAATGTCTAGCTCCAATCGATTCACAATATTGCGTGACCATCTTCCGTGACTAGTGGAGTTCAGTCGAGTCGGGTGTAAGGGGTTTACCAACCAAAAACAATGGACATCGTGTTCACTACGATACTTAGACTTCCTGGATGCCATCCCATTTTTCTCCTAGATACCTACTGTTAAGGATTCCCAAACTAAGGCGAGCTGTCCGGTGTTTTGTGATTCCGAATGACTAGTTCGTAAAAAAATTAACCTTCAAAAAGACGATTTCATTGTTAATCTGAATGCTTTAGCCTATCTACTGATAATTTGTTTTAAAATGTGACTTGGTTAATTTTATTTCATACACTACAAATTAATTTTCACTAACTATAAGTGTCCATCGGACTGTTGAAAAACTACCCCTTGATAGATTTTAATTATTGATTTCTTAAAAATCGAATTTTTCACGTATACCACTTTGAAACTGAATGGCTGTTTGTGTGTTTATATATACTTCTGCACATTTAGTGTATGTAATTGCATGGATAAAATCAATTCGCACCTTTTGTTCACTGCCAAACTTTGTAGAAATAGTTGTCTATCTATTTTTGGTTATTTTCTGACAGTCTATTATTATTTTCTGTTGGAATATAAGAAAGCGTTAGTATTTACAACATTAATACTAATGACTATTATTTGTGATCATTTTTATCCTGCTGATATTATTTCATGTAGTTCAATTGGAATTCGTTTTTCAATTAAATGTTTATACTTGTTAGATGGTGTATACGGTATATGAAGATAATTCATGTATATAGCCATCCAAATTTTTCTTCACAAATTCGTTTTTATACAAATATAAGTAAACTTGCAGTGGATGGAATATCTAAATGTTGATATATACTTTGATATAATTTTAGTGATAGCATGTAGAGATAGTAATCAATTCAATATTGCATAATGAACTGTAAACTAATAACGAATAACGATGTTCTATTCTTAAATAAAAGTACGTTGAATGGTTTTTAAATATGTAACGAGCACGGTTATATGGTGATTACTTAATATTGAATTCAGTTTACGTCACGGGTTGATATCAAGGAGATCTGAATAACTTTTGTTCTAGATTGAGATTTATCATCAGTAGTGTGCACAGAAGTCCAAAAATAAGGTCAAAGTTAGGACAGCCAAAGTGTCGTATCGTACATAATATGTATAGAATGGGGAGTTAGGATCCATTGATGATCTATAATTAGTCAGTTTGTTATAATGCGCGATCATCATCCAACATCATTGACGATATCTGTTTCACTATCTATATAGTTAAACTGCATTCGATTCACTGGTAATACGTCCCAAACCATAGATTAGTCGTTCAGTACTTCATGATTTCCAGGGACTCTAGTTCATATTAAACTATGACGTAACGTACCTTTCAATCTTTACAAATTCCCTATCTGTTTAAGAATAATTGGTTCATTGAACCCACTCTTTAACTACGAATTTTTTATACTTATTGTTAGAAAGTGATACTAATAAGTTTTATACTTTTTGTGGTTACCATTTTATTTTCTAGGAAAATTTTCAGTCTGCCGGAAATTTACAAATTGTTAGTACTGAAACAAAACAAACAGTTTGTATTCATAAATGTAATGAATGCACAGTTCAAATTAAGGGGAAAATTAATTCAATCATGATGGGTGAGTGGTATTATTATCGATGATAAATCAGTATGTTGTGTATGTGAATGATTGTGTGTGTATATATGAATGTACCAAGCATGCAACTAATTTGGCATAAATCTTTTAACTTGTTTTATTCTACACTACACTGGTAATTACCGGAAGCTCTTCCAACTCATCCGAGCCACCGGCAGCAAGAAGTCTGGTGTGAGCGAAACAATCTGCGAGGATGACGGAACGCCAATCACTAACATCCATCGACTTCTTGGACGATGGGCAGAATTCTTTGAAGGGCAGTTCAACTGGCCTGCTGCTCCGGCAACATCGGTCAGACTGTCCTGCCCTCCTTGGCCGGTGACGACTGATCCACCAAATGAGGCGGAAGTCCGCAAGGAACTCGAACTCTTGAAACGTTACAAATCACCAGGCCCAGACGACTTACCCCCGGCTCTTTTTAAAGATGGTGGTGACTTTCTGACTAAAGGACTGACGACGTTGTTTACAAAGATCTGGGAACTAGAGAGTGTACCAACGTCATGGAATGAGTCGATAGTTGTCCCTATCTTTAAAAAGGGTTCACGTTGTTCCTGTAACAACTATCGGGGGATAAGTCTACTTCCGATTGCGTCCAAGCTATTGGCTTCCGTCATACTTCGTAGGTTGTTCAGAACCCGAGAAGGATTGACTCGCGAGGAGCAGGCTGGGTTTCGTTCTGGTCGAGGATGTATTGATCATATCTTCACCCTCCGCCAAATGTTAGAACACCGCCATACTTATCAAAGGCCAACAATCGTAGTGTTTCTTGATATCAAGGCTGCTTTCGATTCGTTGGACAGAACTGTTCTCTGGGATTGTCTATTGAAGAGGGGTGTGCCTGAGAAGTTTATTAACATCCTAAAAGCCTTATATACAAACACCTCAGGTAGAGTGAGGGCATACAACCACCTTTCTCCACTATTCCATTCAAGCAGTGGAGTTAGGCAGGGTTGCCCAATCTCACCATTCCTCTTCAACTTTGCCATCGATGACATTCTGGAAACAGCTCTGACGGATGTAAGTAATGGTGGTGTGGATCTGTTGCCTGGAGAAAGACTTCTCGACCTTGAGTATGCGGATGATATTGGCTTACTGTGCGAGAATGCCCAAGCCATGCAATCCGCACTTAATCAGTTGGCAATCAGTGTCCGTAGGTATGGTATGTGCTTTGCACCTTCGAAGTGCAAAGTACTTCTACAAGACTGGCAGGATTCTAATCCTGTACTCACTCTGGATGGTGAGCAGATAGAAGTAGTCGAGAAGTTCGTGTATCTAGGTAGCTGCATAAGTGCTGGTGGTGGCGTGAGTGATGAGATCAATGCACGTATAGTGAAAGCCAGAGCGGCTTATGCCAATCTGGGCCATCTTTGGCGCCTTCGTGATGTTAGTCTGGCTGTAAAAGTTCGGATCTACAACGCGACGGTGAGAGCAGTTCTGCTCTATGCTTGTGAAACCTGGCCTCTCCGAGTTGAGGATGTTAGACGTCTCTCTGTGTTCGATCATCGCTGTCTCCGAAGGATTGCTGACATCCAGTGGCAACACCATGTCAGTAATGCAGAGGTTCGGCATCGAGTGTTCGGTCACAGAGACGATAATGAAATTGGTGTCACCATCTTGAAACACCGACTTCGGTGGCTTGGACATGTTCTACGAATGTCGTCCCAGAGAATTCCTCGTCGTGCATTATTTGCCGACTCTGGGACCGGTTGGAAAAAGCGGAGAGGTGGTCAGTATATGACATGGTGTCGTGGTATGAAAGAAAGCTGCAAAGGGCTGGCTTCTGTTGATCCTTCACGACTCCCTGGTTGGGGTCCGAGAGATGGTGTAACACAGTGGCTAGAGACGTTATCAGATATGGCTCAGAATAGAAGCCAGTGGCGATCCTGCTGTAACCTTCTTTTACTTTCTTCATAAAAAGGTGGTCGTATTCTTCCTTAACTGAAAGATCTGTTCTGATTGTACCTTTCCGTTTCCCCCACCATTGTTCTCTCTCTTCTTTTTTTATAATTCCCCACGTTCATTACTTTTTTTTTTCTTCTCTTTTCTCCTTCTCTTCTAATTATCACTATTTTGTGTGGCGCATATATATTTGGTGCCCCCCTGTACCAATATTTATGTGTTCAAATAAATAATAAATAAATAAACACTACGAAAATGAATTTTACTAGATAAAGGCCAATGTAAATTTCAAATTTGTTTATATATGTATATATTTTGAGATGAATTCAGTATTGAAAAACCTCTGTTTTACTAACTGAATTACTGTAGGAATGTAATATCTATTTTCTACCGGTGTTTTTGCCGAAACGGTAACGTCCTCTTATCACGTATCTATTTGTTTTTTGTTGACTTCGTTCTACAATGTTATAAATGAATTGGGATTTAAGTATCTTCCCGTTATGCGAGGTTGTGCATCATTCTAGTTGATCAGTAGTTATATCACATCATATTTTTCATGCTTCATTATACAATAGTTATAGTTATTATCCATTAATACGATGTTTGCAAACATCAGCTTCAAGTCTGATGTACCTTTTCTGATACTTTGTCTATTTATAGAATCTGTGATAACAAAATTACCGACTTACGCAGTGTAAATAGTTCAACAAAATGAGATTTTACCATTTTCATGGAATTTATGAAATCAAAAATAGTAACTCTCCGTTTATGCATTTAATTTCTAACCACTGGGTTTCAGGTTCGAAAGCTTTTACACTTGCTTCAGTTGGGAAAATCTGGAGCTATACGAAACATTTGGTTCTTATTCAAGTACACGATCATCCATTTATTTACTAAGTTTTATACCAAACACCATACATCCTGGTGCTACTAGTATTTGACCACAGATGCCTTAGAATTATTGCTCTCATCTGCTGGGATCACCGCGTAAGTAATAGTGAGGTTAGATGCAAGGTATTAGGGAACGATGATAAATCAATTGATGATGTTGTAAATCTTCATCGACTGAGATGGTTGGGCCACGTGTTACGTATGCCTCAACATCGATTACCGTGACGCGCAATGCTGACTAGTGTTGGGGATGGTTGGAAGAAAGTTAGGGGCAGCCAAACCAAAACGTGGCATCAGTGTTTGAAGTTACTAACTTCTATCCTTAGCCATGTTGGCAGATGCCGACTACTTGGTTGGGGTCCGTGTGACTATCGTAACCAATGATCGGAGACTGTGGGTGACATGGCTCAGAATCGATCACAATGGCATCGGTGTATACACTCTGTCTTCCCTTAAACTATGAGATTAAAATCGCTTTATATCTTTCTTTTTACGAACTAATTCTTTCTTCCTGGACTATATCCTTATATGCAACCTTTCTTTTATATATTACCATCATTGAATTAACTACTTCTATGAATCCGATGTTCGTCATGCTGTGATAATGAGGTGTGGCAACTTGGACCGATGCATATATGTACCCGGTCCTACGGTGTAGCTGACTGACTGACTTTATACTTGATCACATAGAAGTAGATTGCAAGAAGACTATTAAGGATGTATCAAAGACATGACACTAATCCATCGTGTTGTTGGATGTTGGTCTGAGTTGTGTGGGCAGAAGCAGATTTCCTTCTTGGGATCCTCAAAATAATTACCATGTATGGTAAACCAGCTCAAAGACGATTGTAGTAGGGCGACTCAATCCATATTTTATATTTCTCTAGATTATAAGTATCATTACTGTCATTGTTTCGACTCCTTAAAGTTTCACCGTGTCAATTTTATTTTTTTGTGTATCACCTTAGTATTTACACTCATCTGTATAATCTACCGTTTATTTCTAACTAGTTTTAACAAACATCTCATAACAATACATATTTATGTAATATCGGGACAATCCGGTTATTAGTGTAATTATTTGAAAAATCCCGTATTTTAAGAGATTACAAAATACAATGTAGGAATGTAGAATAAATAGGTTCTTTATATGTGTACTTGAGTAGATCGACTTTTATGCGTGAAGTTCAATATTGTGATGTTTATGTTGTATCATCTTGTTTTACTGATCGATCTACATTAATTCATTGATACTAACTGCTACTTATTGTGAAATCGGCTTTAAATCCTTTATTGTTGTTGAAAGAAATTGTTCATGTATGGTTTACAACTGAATTGTTTTAAATAAAGAAGTATCAATCAAGTACTGATGTGTATGTGCCTTTGGTCTTGTTCTATTTTCTGGACTGAATGGTTTAGTTGTGAAGCTTTGGTTGTTTTTCTGAATACGATATTATCATGAAGTACTTCAAGCAGGAATAAACCATTCGGTTAGAAAATTCAACACCGTCGAAAGCATCCAATACAGCTACAAATCTTCGTCATCATTTCAAAGTTTGTGTGCATACATTGTAGCAGGAGAAAATTAGTACCTTATATCTTGATGGATGAATACCAGTTTTTCCTAAACACAGTATTAACTATGGTGGTTCTGTTTACTAAGTCTAGGTATGAACTTTTGTCTACCACAACTCTTCTTTTTATTAACGTCAACATTTAATGTTCTGCTACATTGGATTGACTTCTAAACTTCACATTTTTGTTGGATGACTCATCCTCAGTAGCTAATTGGTTTCAATTCTAACAAATCAGCTCTCGGGAAAGCTTCTGGAAGACAAATTCGTTTCATTAACAGACATTTTATGCACCAAAAGTTAAGTTAATTCGTATTTTCTCGTATGTTATTTTCTATGCCTAATCTTTCTTATTATCAGTATTAATACTACTGTAGTGGACACTACTCACAAGATTGTTTGTAAGTAGTGTGTATCAGAACGTGACATCGAAGTTATCTCTTTCAGACAGAGTGAAGAGTTTCAGTGTATAGAAAGTACAGCGTTGGCAGAACACTTGTAGACCAGATGAGAAGATAGTTCAGATAGCAGAACACACCGAAAGATGAAAGTGGAAGATTGAAGGCTATGCATATCATGCATATTATATAAATACTTTACAACTTCTCACAAAACTACATTCACTCTGAAATTGTCGAGTTTACGCTACTACCTCTACTACTCTGAGCTTTACCCTGACAATTTCATCCCACTATACCAGTGGGATGTGACAACTTGAACCGATACGCACATATCCCAGGTTCTACGTTGCGTATGACTGATTAACAGCAAAAGTTTTTGATTTTTTTTTCATTACTGCCCGTTCTCTCTTACATAAACTTATTTCAAGTGTTATCTTAAAATATACATTGTATCGAATTTTATTATTATTTTTTACTCTTAACCTATGAAGTCAAGTTGAAACAGATCATTTAAACAATTATAGATCATAAGAAGTTTTAACATCATTTGCTGACATTCATCAATAATTTAATAATCATTTGTACTTAGCTACATGTTCACATTTACAATAAAATTGTCTACAATCTATACGTTCATTATCATATTAAATGTCTTACAGTTTTCAAATACATCACATTTTATTTAATGTTAATATTCATATGAATTATTTAAGAAAATGTTAGTAGTAAATTGTAAATCGCAAAACTTGATTGTTAATGTTTCTTATTACCTGGAAAACGATTTATGAAAAAAATTTGGAACAGTCACAATATATATCACGCATAAATTTAATAATATAATACGATTAATTCATTTTAATCAAGTAAGTTTTTGTTCATTTCGATGATTGATAGAATGAGTTGTTAAGTTTATGAATTTCTTTTTTTCAAGAGAAATAAAATTACTGTCGTATGAACTATCTCTGAGTTGTTATGTAGAGATGTATTTTGTATTTGTATATATCTGCTTTCCTGTACATTATGTATATTTTTACTGATTTTTGTATAGGAACTGTCAATTTGAATATTATTGATATTTCAATCATTTTATTTTTATCACGTTCTTGTTTGATTAGTTCTTATTATTTTCTGTTAGATAATTGTAAGAAAACCGGTGTTGTCTTTGATCATCTGATCTCATCTATTGATGTGGTGAATTGTCAGAGTGTTAAAATTCAGGTTAGTTTTGTAGTCTTTTGTTCATATATGTATGCATTTACTGAATTCTATAACTGGTATCAAAATTCTGTAAATGTGTGTTTAGTCACTGGATAGTAATAATTTACAGTTAATTTCTTTTGTTGATCAAATAGTTTTAATTGCGAACAGAAACCAACTGAAAGCCGAAAAAATCATTGAAAAGTCAATTGCTCATATGAAATTGTTCTGTTGATAATTCAGTTTATACCTGTTTAGTAGAAATATTGTAGTTTTTATTGTCTGCATTATATATATATATATATATATATATATATATATATATATATATATATATATATATATATTCCTCATTCTTGTTAATTTCTACGAGAATTTATTTCTGTTTAGTGTATTGGACAACTGTCCACTGTGAATATTGACAAGACAGATGGATGTCAAGTGTTTTTAAGTGAAGACTCAAAGTATGCTGATGTGATCACAGCAAAATCTTCAGAGATCAATATCCTTATACCTAAAGGAACTGATGATTTTGTAAGTTGTTTTTGTTTTTCGAAAAAAAATGTTTACTATTTTTCTCGATAATATTAGACGATATTCAGTCATTGATAGGGTGAATATACATGCCTAAAATGCCATCTGTAAACAAACAATCACTAATTAAATTATCAGAAAAAAGACGATTTAAATGTTATAAAATAATAATAGTGATAATATGCTAACCTTTTTCTGTGATTTAAGTACCACCTAGCTATCGGTGTATTTACCTACCATAGAATGTAGACCCATTCTGTTTCTTTGTTCATTGTATAATATTAACAGTTCCTCAAATTCTACCTTTTTGAAAAATCGCTTCATTTAATGTTTATTTTATATTCAATCATATCATAAGAATGATTAATTACTTTAAGAATTCCATTTATTAATTTACTACTTCTCCAATGTACATAATCAAGTTTAGATTATTGTTCCTATTATATACTATCAATAGTATTACTTACTTACGCCTGTTACTCCTCGTGAAGCAGCATAAGTCCCAAGCCCGTGTAAAGGAGGATAGTTGAGCATGGGGTTAGCGACCTCATCCCGTAGAAAACTAACTCTCTATAAAAATGCTAAACATCAATAGTATACTTTTCATATATTATATATAATATCTATTTGCCTCTTTTCTAATCATATACAATTCTTCTCAATGTTAATTATGAATATAAAAGCAATACTAATGAATGTAGCAAAATAATTTAATGATGAATTCATTTATTTCTATATATTCTCTTTATATGCTTATAAATCAATGATTTTATTCATAAATTATTTAAAACTAATCTACATACTTATGATGTTATGATTTAATGAAGATTATAATTTTTCTTTAAAACAAACTAACTAACTAATATTAAATGCTGAAGAATCAAACATAACAATAATACGTATTTAACTTGTTTATTCTTTCTATGCTAAATAATTTAAGGAATGTTATGTTTTAATAATCTTTATTAATATAATGTAGAATATGTATATTAGTTTTAAATAATTGTCATTATTGTTTCTATGGTGTAGGCAGATGAAAACAATTCATAAAATAAATAAATTCCTATTATTCTACCTATATGTTAATTAATATCAATTTAAAATATTTATCATTCCAAGTAACACTTATATTATTGAACTAGTCTTTGCCGGTTTCTTTTTTTTATATCATGATAATTGGTATTATTATGAAACTTCCTATTGTATTGTATATGATTACACTATGGTTCAGTTCATGTTATTTCACTTTATATGTACATAATCACAATTATTATCTAGTTATTAATGCTTCTAATTTGCTATTGATTTCAAGATGATTGATCGTCAAAGTAGCCCGTTACTAAATAATTTATCAACAAAGCAACAGTCTACAGTTCTCTGTGTCATTATTATCACCAGTTATACTACTCATTAATATATTGCGTTATATTCATCTAAGTGATGATACGTCTATTATTGGTTAAATAGTTTACATGAGAGAAACTTTTGACAGTCGGTGAGATTAGCGTGTTTCGGAAACTGATAGCATTGTCTGTGTAGTCTTTTAGTATTAGATTAATCGACTAATCAGTTGTTTATAGTTCTATTGTAGCACACAAAAGTTCTATGTTTGTAACATTACATGAAAAATCTATTCATATCTGGTAAAAGGGTACTCCATAAAAATCTTAGCATGTAGATTATTATTTAACGATATAAATGATAATTATTGATAAATGTTTTTTCTTCAAGAATCTTGACCCTATTTTTTATGTGTGAAATTTCAGGAAGAGTTCGCAGTCCCAGAACAATTTAAAACAAATTTTACTGGAAAAGGATTGAAAACAGTATGTAGTGATTCTAGATAAGAAATGTTACTTAATGTTCGTCATACACATTTGTCAACAATATTGAAAATTTTCATTTTAAACAGCCACTTTATCTTGCTTCATGTACTAGTACAACATTTTTGTTCAAACGCAATAAAACACTGCTTTTCTTGATGGTTTAATTTGTTTGACTGTGTCAATCTTTGACTTTCAATATCAGGCACCCGTTGTTTTATCTCTTTTGGAAGTATTTGCTTTTTTATTGCTTGTTTAAAAATATACATGTGATGATTTTTACATCATTATTGTGTGGTTAGTCTGTTTATTGTGCAATGCTAAGATGCAATTTCATAAGTATAATATTAAATAATGTTAAGAATAATAATGACTTTGATTATGGTAAACTACGAAAAATGATTTGAAAAAGTAATAAAATACCACGTGATAGCATCGTTTTTTTTTTACACAGAATAGGATATAAGCAATGAACCTTTGTTTAAAACGTCGTCTTCATTCAGAAAAAAATAATTGAATACAAGAAATGAAACAAGTTACTTTAGCCACTTTAGGTACATTAGGTAGTGAATAGAAAGTTTCATGGCCATATTTTTGGGATTCGTATAACAACTTTTGGTTTGCTGTAAACGTTGTTTTCGAGATCTCCGTAATCCAGTCCATCATCAGGAGAAAAAGGAAAAGAGAGAGTAGACAGTTTTGTCTGACTCTGATCCTTACTTGGAATGCATCTGTAAGCTGTCTTCCATGCAGGAACTTGTACTGTAGTCCTTCGTATGAGTTCCGGATAATGTTGACAATCTTCTCAGGAACTCCATAGTGTCGCAGATGTTTTCATAGCGTCAACCTGAGTAATCAGCATTCTCTGACACTGGTCCTCACTTGGAATGCATCTGTCAGCTGTTCTTCATGCACTACGTTGCAGTGCAGTCCGTCGTACGAATTCCGTATGATGTTAACGGTATTCTCTGGTACTTCGTAGTCCCGAAGAAAACTCCATAAGGTTCTCTCATACACTATCGAATGTCTTCTCATAATAAATGAAGTTGATTTACAGTGACGATATCCATTCAATTGGTTGTTCAACGATGATCCGTAGTGTCGAATGGTCCTTACGGAATCCGGTCTATTGAACTCGAAGTGGGTATCTACTGAATCTTTCATTCGGTTGACCAACAATATCTATCCGTAAACTTAGTTTGTTCTCCATCATATATGGGTGATTGTTACGATGCGATGAGTTGGTGTAGACAATGATGTGACTTACACGTAAGATCTTATAGATTAGGCTGCTACATCATGACAAATCTACGATTTTAGGGTTAAGTCTATTATTAGAGTAATACTAATATCAAAATAGACCATGATTCTACAACCGCACCATTCCAACTAACTATGTGTGGGGCAAGTTCTCATGACCAGAATGCAAGGACGTGTCTTTGTGCAGCTTGTAATTGATCATTTTCACCTATTCCAAGGAGTTAAGTATTGTATCTCCTCATTTCAGCTGCTACACTTTTTGTCATTCCATTCACTTACATTGTCGGAACTTTCCATGAACCTACATTAATTATTACCCTAGTTGTCAAACACGGCACCAGCCTCGCTGCTAACAAAAAATATTGATTTTCATCACTATCCATTGGAACTCTTCGATATCAAGACCCTGCTAATATCACGGTAGAAATAAAACAGTGTAGACGGGTTCTGCTGGTTGTTTTTTTGTACGACTCGTTTTTAAGTTATGTAGTCGCTAACGCCATACAAAAACCCCTTATTTTTCCGGACGTGTGACCGGAAAAGCTTAAATTGGTTGCACACTAACGCAGTGACATGTTTATTTGGAAAGCCATTATTCGGGCTGCAGATACGGCCCAATAATCTATATGAGTAAAAAGGGAATATGTGTTCAAATAAAGTAATCTAGGGTTTCCGAGACATCAAAGCTCTCTTAAATGTTGGTTGTTTTAAACGAATTGTGAACATCTATCTACGATTTATCGAGACAAAGCTTCGTACATGGTTTAGAGTGTAGCTAACCTTCAGCCACTTATAACAATAATATCGAGTAGCAGCATTCATAAAGTCTATGATTTAGAACCATGGTCCATAGAGAAAGTTGACCATTGCTTTTAGTACTAGATGTAACCTGTTGTAAGGAAGTGTCTACAACCTCCAAATCTGTGCCAATCTTAGTCTCCTTCATTGAGTAAAACAATAGTCAATATGAAAAGAAAAGTGACGTTGTAAAAACGAAAGGAATAATCTGAAATACAAGAATTTTTGTCCTGTCACTACAGGGCCATGATTCACTTCGAATTTCCTTAGTATTACTTGCATGTATAGTCAAGTATGCATTCTTTGTTGGAATCCTGGAATGTGTATACACGTGCACTCTTAGCAAGCCGCGAGGTAATGTGAAGCTAGTTCACGAAATGGTCAATTTCTTTCATCAAGTGTCGCTGAGCGTACTTAACACGCAGGAGACGGTTATACAAATAGAAATTCTTCCTTGTTTTTTGATCAAACTAAGAGTGGTTCAGGGGTCTCAGTAAGCCATAAATTGTAGAGGAGGTTCCCAGGACAATAATAGTATTAAAAAGAGGTTACTGAAAAAGTTCGACCTGGTATTCTCAGCTATGATAATTTTTGAAAAAAAAACAAATGCATTAGATCAACAAGCTATTGTTTGAAGAGCAGGAATGTATTAATGTCATTATTAAATATCTTAGGAGTAATACAGAGGATAACTGCACGCATGATTCTGAAGGTTTTCGACTTTCACTATGAAAAGACGCTTGACATGTTGAACTTTTTTGATAACATTGACATAGATTAAGTGTTAAATAGCCATGACGTCAAGGATATTTGGGATATTTTATACTCAATATATCATCTCGACTTCCTCAACTTGGTCGAAACTCCCTAGAGCATACAGAAGATGAGTGTAAATACAAGAACTATTTACCTATGAAACCGAAATGACCTTCACGGAAACATCAGAAAGATATTAAAACCCCCAAAGATTCTACAGATATACAAGATTTGACAGTACTTTTTTCTGTACCACCTATATAACCGAAGGATGGTTACATGTTCAAATCAATAGTCAGGGATAAGTGAGTTCGAAGATATATTTGGAGGGTCGTCGGTATGTCGGGAAGAGATTGATTTTATCGGACTTCCGGTTGCAAAACTAACGGGGTCAGGATCAATGTCAAAGAATCGCAAAGCTATTAATTTTTAGTAGTCATCTATCGTTACCGGATCCTCACCACACGATTGATGAGACACAATAGACAATGACTGAGACAGCTCACATCGGTCGCTGAACACTTGGAGGAGGCAGGAAAATGTAAACGCGTGGACATTTAGTTGAGGTGGAAAGGCTCAACGGTGCCGGCATCGTGATTCAGGATATTTTACCGGGTTTATGTCAAATACATTATTATTTTTTTCTCAGCCCAAATTTTTTCTTCAAAGGTCATTAAAAACAACCACTGACATCAAGCTGGTAGTTGAAATACAGTCTAATGCGAAGTTTCTCTATAGGTTTGTTACTCAAGTATAGCTGAAAATTGAGAAGGGTTCTGCTCTCAAAGAGCTTGATGGTTAAAACCTTACCGAAGTGGAAATGGCAGCAAACTTTAGCTCCAACTTCTTCACTCATTTGAACCAGGAGGTTATAAGCACGATATACTTTTGCACTCCATTACCACCTGATGCTTTGAGGAATATTCATTTAGCTCCTCGTGAGCAATCATGAAAGTGGAATTCCTGTAAGTCGAAAGCATTATCTCGTGGTCAGTCACTATTATTTACTGGAAGAATACTAAAGGCTCGACCGGTATCGACGAGACTGAGAATTTTTATCATCACATAAGTGATGTATGACAGACAACTATGTCCACCGGCTCCGGTTGCCTTCATTGCCTGTCATCAAGGAAGTTTCGCGGAAGGTTTGTTGTGTCTGGAGTCTCTAAGTCAGGAGAATTGCAGTATATTCTGAAGTCTCTGGAGCACTTACTAAAGGTATTGTGGTAAAAACACCAATCGGAGTTATCTGTCTCCGGTGGTCTAGTGACACGTCTGTTACGTGACGGGCATCTCTGGGGAGTTTTGAAGCGACTGCAACAACAATGAAAGTTGAGAGAGTATGATAAAGAACTGCAGTGTAGCTTTGTGTCGTTTAAAATTTTCTGTTACAGAACAGACCGTGGCTTCGGAGGTCTGGTGATCTTCAGAGTCCGATCAGCAGATCAAGCCTATAAGTTTACGGTGCTATTTCAAAATTACTTTTATGGTATGTATAGATGTGAAGAGTTGTCTTAAATGCCGTCGCGGAAAATTCGTTGAAAAATAAGCTCCCACACAGGTTGAAAAATCTTCATTCGTGTATCGTATCGTAATTTGATACTGTGGAGGGGATGGCCTAGCCTTTGTCTATCGGTGAGGTCCACCCGAATGATCATAATCTATTTCAAAGTGTTAAAGAGTTTGCAAAAATCACTAGTAAACAGACCGTGTGTAGTGTTATAGTTGAAATCCCGTGGCAGTGCCTTCACTACTGCGACCATTTGCGCACGCAGATCTACCACTCTGCACTCGTGGAAGTCAGTATGTGCAAGCAGAACAAGACTGTGATATTATCAGGCCGCAGTAGCAAGTTGAAATGTGAACGTGTGAGAGACTCAACTTTTTACATTCTGTGTTTATCCTGTTGTATTGAGGATAACATATATAAATCGGCTAACAACACCAGAGAATACGAAAGCGATATCACAATATGTAAAAATAAAGGTGAATAGTGATGCATAAGGTTGCCACAAAGAACAGGCACATATTGTCGTTGAATGTACAAAATCAAGTCGAGCAACAGATACTCATGGTTCGAAAATGTTTTTGTCTGAAGCCAAGTAGAGATCTGTAGCTCTAGTGGATGATTTTGGTAGAGCTTTGTGTAAAGTGTGATCGATAAACGAACACACCAATGATAAGGTGAAACGCCTACAACCACATTAACTTTTCTTGACCTTGTATGACTATATCTTGTTTATTCACCAATCATAATTTTGTGTTCATTATAAAACAATATTCGCCTTGCTGACTCATTTTTTCTATACTCTAGTTACAGTTCAGTATGTTATTATGTCTCTAATTTCCCTGTGTTAATAGACTGTATTGTTTGTTTTGTATACTAACGGTGTTAATTTATGTTTTAGAAACAGATAAAGTTTATCAAGCCAAGTAGCTTACATCTTCCAACTTTGGCCTAAGCAAGACTCTGTGTTCGACAGTTTAGAGAATAGCTTAGTTACATCTGTAGGAAGTTGCTTCCTACACTTTGTTTTCTGAGCCTAATGGGTTGATCGTGAAGCTTTCATTGTTATTCTGAACGACATCATCAGAACAAATTTGAGGTAGAAGTGAAGTGTTCGAATTTCTCCACATAAGGCTCACAGCTTGTTCTTTAGACTTTAATGTTGATTGATTATTATTTACCTTTAGCCTGTAATCGTTTACTTCTTTATTTTGATTGTATCTCCCATTTATTTAATTCCTGACCCTATACTAGTCCATAATTTTTCTGATTCGTTAATAAATTGGATTGTTTTCAATGTGGTTGATGGTTGCTGATTGATCTTAATGCTTGGATTCTTAAAAGTCTCTGGTGTTTTTTGGACTCGCTCTATCCAAGATGTCAACATTTTCTCAGTCGAATGTATATCCACAGTTTTCCACATGCATTCATATAAGAGAGGATAATTCATAGCTGTGAGTTATGATCATAACTAATCAATCAAATCGTTGCTTAGGTTCCCACCGCGTTAATCTGCTCTGATGTGTCTGTAAACAATCCCTGTTTAATGTGACCTACCAATTAATAGACATTATCACCTTATTATATTGGTGTAATTCGTAATCGTATTCATTTTGATAAGACACAACACTGGTCGGTAGGAATGTACGTCTCACTTAATGACTGTAATTCCTTTAATTACTGTACTAATCTAATTGTTTTTGAGTTTGGAGAAAGATAAAGTTTAAAGCCAAATTGTTATTTCTCTGACTAGAGCTTACACGTAGACTTTGGGATAGCCAGTTCTAGTATTATATTTGTAGGACAAATTAGATCCTACAGTGGCTTTTGGCCGCTAATTTATGTTTGTGCAGACGATGAAGGGAGAGTTTGTTATGTTCGATGTAGTGTTTATAGGACTCGGAGCAATTAAATTATTAGATGATATCCAGTCTTCCTTTTTTTGTCATTTCGTCCTTCGTTTTGCATGGGATTGATTGACGTGGTTTTGTGGGTTTGTGTGTCACATATATCCCGAAAGTCTTCAACAACCGCGTTGTAATTTCTGACATGCCTTTCGCATATGGTAGGCCAATCCGTTCGTTGGTTTCTGTACTTGACTTTTTTCCTGACGATGCGTTTAGTTTGTCTATTTTAATGTTGTTGATTGATTTGATGTTCTTTAGAATGATGGTCTTTAGATACTTTTTTTTCACTCTTCCGCACTGCAAGTGTGTTGCAGTGTGTCCTCGCTCTCTTGAACTTTGTTCAGCTATCTTAATTTACACTTGTATTCAGTCAGCCTCATGTTATTTTTACACAAAATTGTTTCCTTATTGTATAAATGATCAGATTGCTGGAGACGTATATTACATGTAAATCACACTCCTCTGCTCAACTTTGTCTTCCCATTGTTGCAAAACACGTTTTTCTAGGGTCCAGTGTTATTGAAAAGTACAGTGATTTATAATTTTGTGTTGTGTTCGCAAAGCATAAATACGTATCATGTATGAGTGAAGAAAAGTAAAATACGGTTTTCGTGAAGGGCAAAAAATATTAATTTTGTAGAGGTACACTATAAGGCAGAAGTATGATTATTGGGTTTCTATAACAGTCGTTATTGGCACTTTAGTCTGAAGTAATAATTTAGTAACAGACCGCGCAATTATAAACTTTTACGTCAATAAAAATAAATAGAAAACGTCTAAAGATGATTGCTTACGTATCGCTGGATTTAAACATTTGTTCAAACGAACATTATTTATTGGTTATTGCTCATTTCGCTTTGTTCTATTGAAGCATATTACTAATACTACAAAAGAGGCGCTCAAATCTTGTTGATTTCAAACAGTCGGCTGGTTTCTACAGTCTGTTTTGTTGTGTAAGGTTAGGTAAAATCGCAGTATTTTTCAATCTATTACTAAATTCAAAATTGGGTTGTTTCATCCTGGAATTTGATCAGGCTTGCTTGTTGTCGTGTACATTTTGAATCATTTTTCGTACGGGAATAACTGCATTTGGAATTTATAATACTTTTAATGGTCTAATTAGTCGCCTTATAGATTCATATGGTCTTCTTCCTGTCTGCTTTTGATTTTTCTGAACGGTAATTCATCGATAAACCCTGATCTTGGAGTTTTCAGTTCTTTGTCTGATGTTTCCCGAGCTCCCAAGGTTGGGGAAATCCCCATAGTCAAATTACCTTCAACACGGTTAAACAAGGATTTCGGAGAAATTTTGGGGAATTTCCTCAGGTCTGGGGAAATTTTGGGGTTTGTGTGCCACCCTACCAAAGTTTGCTATAGCGGCTTCTCGAAAATTTCACCAAAATAGGTCGAATTTTCCCCAAAATTGTGATCTCGGGTTCTTTTCATATCGTCCTCTGTATCTAAGTTGGTTTTCTCAAGTTTGCATTCAGTTTCCCACTAGGTTCTATAAGTTATTTTCACTTCGATCTACAGACTACCCCAGCTGGGTTAGTGTATGTATTTGTTGCTTATAATCAAGGTTTGATTCCTGTTTTTTTCTCTCTCCTATTGATTGATGTTTATCATGTGGGTAATATTTTGCATATTATCATTAATATCTCTGTGATATGTATTGTGGTTTTGAGTATAACCATGTCTTGCAAATGTTTCGGAAGCTTGAGACTATCTCATGTAGAACGAAAATATGTCTTCTTGAGTGACGTTTTGTTGATGAACCTAAAGGATACTTTCTAGGATTTATGTTATTGAAGGCGAATAAATTGATCATTGAGTTCTCTATCTCATAAATCTTAATTCTTCTTACCATCTACTGGCAAATATGATATTTTGGTGGTTTTCAGTACTCATGTGACTAGGTTATATATTAACTAAATAAAAGTAATGTGAACCCGACTAAGTTTTGTCCCATTTTGTACTTCTTGTAGATATCCAAACCTTTGGTGTAAAGTTCACTAATCGTATTACGGGTTACGGACAATAATTACCCCTCCAAGCTTGTCCATTCTTGTGCATTTTTGCCATAATTCACTCTGTCGACCTTTAGCTTTACAGTGTTTCCCTGTAGTGTTGACACAGGCTCTACAGTACTGTTATGCGAAAGTACTTTGTAGTATGTGTATTTGTAAACTCAGAATAAATAGCTAAGAATACTACATCCCTTTCCCTAGTTATTATCAGTCAGTAGTTAGAAGTTCTGGATCATTTAAATTAGAATTGGTTACAGTGACAAACGTGTTCATATTCTTTCTTTCCAATCCTGGACATTCATCATTCTTCATTCAATTCGTTCTTTTCCATATTCAGCAGTTTTACATTTTTGCGACTTGAGGTTTTTGTGCTCATATGATGGGTAATTTTAGAGTTAATTGTTAACTATAATTTACTGACTGTAATTAATAGTTCACTAACATTAGGTGGATCTGATGAATCTTAATATGAGGTTAGGATTACTATATTTAATCTAAGAAGTGTTAATTTCAGTGACCATATGGCTGGAAAACCAAACAAAGGCAGTACATTTCAAGTTGAACACTATCATGGACCTAATAGTATGTAGAATCTTGCAGTTAACTCTTTCTAGATTCTAATGTTATGGGACGAGCTTCAAGTCTTGAAGAGGTGATTAGTCAGTTTTATTTTGACTAGTGTTTATAGGCCTTGGGCGATATGAGACGTGAAAATTTTCGACTTAGATTGTTATTGTATAATTATGAGAGAGCTTATCGTCAAGCTAATGTACCACAGGATTTGGAGTCATCGGTAAGTTCTGTACAAGCAAATTATCTAAGAAATAAACAGAGAATATTTGCTGCTGAGTCGGAAAACATTCTTCTGAAGGAAGCGCTTAGCGAAAAAGATACATTATTAAATTTCTCATCGTGAGTCGCCTGTTTAATTTTTGTATAATTTATCCTAGGAAAATGAATGATCAACTTCGTGAGCAAATAAATGTTTTAAAACAAAAAAGCGAAAATATTGAAAATGGTTTGTTCCATCCTTCATTAAACAATTTAATGATAGACTGGCGAAAGAAATATGATATTCTACATACTGAATTCCAATGTGCCCAAGAAAAAGTTCGCGCTTTGGAGATGTCTATATTAGCCAAAGATACGGAATTCGCGAAGTGTAAAAATGAATTTCAGAGGTGAGTTTCTCAAAAATGTACAATTGTCAAGTCTAGTTATCTCAGTTCAGTATATGTATTTAATAAACAGGATCGTTTTCTTCCCGGCTGTCAGTTCTGTTCGTCATATAAGATTTTCAACCATCAACTTTGCCATCATTAGATTCTTAGCCAGTAACCCATATTTCATATCATTCTCTAGAACAATAGTTATTAAAATCTTTGGTTAATATAACATATTTGCTTATCACACTGGTATTTCGTTAACATGGTTCACCAAAATTAACGTTTATCGTTTTGGTTGGTTTTGTTAAGATCAAAGGACATCCGACTTTCGGGGACTCATGAAAAACGTTATCGCAGTATAATTATGAGAATTCATCTTGTCATTTCTGATCTAGAAGGTATATCAAAGCTTTTATCAACGGTTGCTCTGCGAATGTGGTCAACTAATAAAAAGATGACGGAGTGATTCTTTATCATTTGGCTCTCATCAATCTAATGTCATTGGTACAAACCTCATCACACCTGTTTTTGTCTGGACAATCGGATAATCTCACTGACTTTCTTGTAATAAGTGTGACTCAAATCATTTCATTATTATTTACTTGGTTTCTGAGTTAAATAATCCCCAACATCTAACATGGAAAATAAAGGGTCAATAAATATTTGATCTATAATGTCATCGAAAGCATTGCTCTTATGTGATGAAATACCGGAGTTGCTAAATGTTTAACTAATTAGGTTAGTTTTCACTAGTGGGCATATAATAACTGACTACGTTAATAATGCATGATGTGCCTGCTGGGATACGAAAAGGCTTTACGATTATTAGATTAAAAAGTCGATCGATAAATCCCTTATCGAATTGAGCACTGCGAATTTTAGGATTCCTATTCTTCGTTCGTACAAACTTTAGCTATTATAGTTACAAATTATTCATAGTAGAGCAAGGATCTATATAAAATGGACTTTTAAGTCGCTCTTTCAGTTGCCTTGCTGAATGTCTCAATCGTATAAGCGATCTGTCATCAAAAGTTTTGTCACTAGTTCATACCCTTTCCTATCTTTATAACAATGATGACTATTTGATTATTATCTAAATTTGGGAAAGCTAAGAAACAAAACTAGTCCAGTTTCTTACTTCTTATAACAAATACTTCTATCGTTTATTTTGAAGTAATGTAACAGTCCAAATCATCCTTGAATTGTGATCTTAGTCCAAGGTATTTAACGCCAGTCGAACTATATACGTTTCTATTGTTATCTGGATGCTTATTCATGCATAGTGTTTGCATTTTTAATTTGCTTATTCATAGTGCACAGCAATTTTGCTGAGCGCCACAATTATCAAGAGTGCAATGAGGAAATCACCTTGTGGAAATTCAGGGAAACAGACTTAAATGGCTACGAAATAAGCTTGGTCATAGTAATATACTTGTTTGTAAGCGAGTATTTGTAAAGTAGGCTACTCCTATTCTACATTTAAATTTCCGATTATGTAACATTGATTTGAGCCTTTATTATTCTTATAAAAAACTAGTACACATGTCATCACACTATCAATCTGTACTTTTCACACATTATGTAATCGTTTTATTCGTCGTTTTCATTGACTTATAAACTACCTTGATTGGTTTAATAATTTCGTATATACATATAAATATTACTGTATATTAGAGTGAAGCCTGATGAGGATCTAATCGAAAACAATATTGTTCGCTTATATATGTTGTTCTAAATTTAAACTGTTGTATCTTTCTGTAAACACTTTGATACTTTCCGAGTGTACAAACCAAATTAGAGTTTTTTAGAGATTTTTATTCGTATCAATGCATTTAGTGGCTAATTTTTAATAGTGTAACATTTTAGACATTGTTTATCTCGTTCTCCTATAACGCACCCGTTATTATCAGACAGGAATGCTTTAATGTGTTTGCGATCACTACATACTTATGATTCATTTTCTGTAGTTAATTGCTATGTATATGATGGTTCAGTAGGCATAATTTTACTTTGCTTCCATGTTTTCTAGTTCCATAGCTAGACTTCAGGCGGAACTTGCATTCAGTCAACACACTAATAAACGATACAGACGAGAAATTCAAATGTTTCGAACAGAAGCTGATGATTTACGTGCCACATTAGAAACTGTAAATAAGAGCCATGTGAGCATTGATGTTAAAGACCTAAAACCTAACGATCTACATACTTCTGAACAGGTAATCAACTGTGAACACATCTTCACAAATTTTAATTTAGAAAGAAAACTTGGTTGAGTGAGGTTTCCGCCAAGTTCTCAAATCAATCTTTTTGTAGTATGAATCTATAGAATTTGTAGAACTAGTAAAGTGGTTTTTTATCCTTTACGTTTTAGTTAAAGTTGCTTTACATAGTCATTCTTAGTTTTGTATAGTTGAGCTCTTAATTAAATCATCTACTCCCATCGTTATTTTTTGACTTTATGGCAAGGCTGTTCGCACATCTACTTTCTATTTGTCGAAATATATTACATAATACTAAAATATTAAGGAAATTTGTCAATTTAGATGGAACTCTGACGATTTTCCACTTGAGCTTGGGGCAATCAGACTTCAATACTAATTGTTGGTAGGCTGTGTCTTAGAACCTACAAAATATAGTGGATCACGAATATTTCGTTGAAATTGACGATCCAACTACCGACCTAAATGATAACTTTGTGTATGATACCTTTGGAAAGGAGCATTTGAACATATAAATGAAAAGAACTATTGGAATAAGAGCATAAATATCTTCAGATCTGGCTGTCTTTTAAATGATATCAGAGTTTACTCATCAGACTGTCTTGTACCATTTGATTAGACCATTATTAATGTGGTAAATCATTATTTGGTAGCGTTATTTAGTACATAGACTTACCAAAGGATCTACTTTCAGTAGTTTATTAAAATATTTCTTAACAGTTAAATGTACTAAAAATCTCTATACAATCAATATTTAGTGGAAAATGAATGCTACTTTATGTATATGTAGATCAATATTAATATTGTAATGGTCAGTCGTTGAGTTAGAATATGTCTCAGCATTGTACATTTTGCGATCTATTTATTAAGGATGAGCTCATTGTTGTTATTTATTCATCCCAGTCTAACATTACTTCTCTTTTTATGATAACCTCTGATAGAACTTGTGGAATCAATCACCTCAGTGTAATCTAAAGACCCCAACCACCGTCTCTAGCTTATCTCCATCTTTCAGTACTTCGACTGGCCATGAAGATGGTGTTAATAGGACTCCTTTGAAAGAATTCAGTAGTCTACACAATCAAATTCCAAGTGAAGAATCTTATACAAAGTTAACAGATCGATTAAATTCAGCTCGACATTTGATTTTAGAACTTGGTAACGAAAAATTACGAACTGACAAATTGATTGCTTCAATGAAATCTACTCATGAGGTAAATATCCATTTTGTGTGTAAATCCAAAGGTTTTTGCTATATTTGATTTAATGATCTGAAAATGGATTTCTTTTTGAACTAAAATTTCTCTGGGGATCACAAAACATTACTGACTATTATACAGCTGCTTTACCCTAGTTTCACATTCTTTATTTCCTATTCTTTCGCAAATTAGGTCATCTAAAAAGTTGATTATTGTAGAGGTATATCTGTCTTCATTTTTCAATTCCATCCAATTTGTTGTCTTATATAATGGTCTCCGTAACTTAAAAATTGAGCCACATCTTGTTGAAAATCTCTAACTTTGGTTATTTGGAATGTATTAACATGTCATTTCATGTACTAACTGGAATATACAAATCCACTCATTGGATTTATACCAAAAAGTAAACGTTAAAGCCTCCGTTATTAATTTACTTTTCTTAATCCCGAATTGACTAAATGGTGTATTATGAATCTCCACCCTTTTTTATTATATTCAAGTGATTCTTTAGTTGATAGCAGATTTTAGTCATGGTCCGTTCTCCAGATTGACCATAATTGTGTTCCCGTTATGTAAACTAGACCATAAGTATACTATTCATAATCTCGTTTAACGTACTTTGCGCCAGTAAATTTTTTGTTTATAACGCGCGCGTTTATCGTAAATATAGTGAAGAAACCTGTTATCACATAGTCTCGAAATTCTGATTGTAATTTTCGAAAATCATCAATCGCAAATAATTAAATTAAAAATTAAACCTCAAGACAAGCTGTTAATCTTAGACAGAAGTATTACTCTTTATGTAATCTATTAATTAATTTATTTATTTGAACAGATAAATATTGGTACAGGGGGGCACCAAGTATATATGCGCCACACAAAACAATCAGAATTTAAAGAGAAGGGAAAAAACAGGTAAGGAACGTAGGGAATTATTAAAAAAAGAACAATAATGGGGGAAACGAAAAGGTACAATCAGAGGAAATCTTACAGTTAAGGAAGAAGCAACCACTTTTTATGAAGAAAGTAAAAGAAAGTTACAGCAGGATCGCCACAAGCTTCTATTCTGAGCCACATCTGATAACGTTTCTAGCCACTGTGTTACACCATCTCTCGAACCCCAGCCAGGGAGTCGTGAAGGACCAACACAAGCCAGCCCTTTGCAGCTTTCTTTCATACCACGACACCATGTCATACACTGACCACCTCTCCGCTTTTTCCAACCAGTCCCAGAGTCGGCAAATAATGCACGACGAGGAATTCTCTGGGACGACATTCGTAGAACATGTCCAAGCCACCGAAGTCGGTGTTTCAAGATGGTGACACCAATTTCATTATCGTCTCTGTGCCCGAACACACGATGCCGAACCTCTGCATTACTGACATGGTGTTGCCACTGGATGCCAGCAATCCTTCGGAGACAGCAATGATCGAACACAGAGAGTCGTCTAACATCCTCAACTCGGAGAGGCCAGGTTTCACAAGCATAGAGTAGAACTACTCTCACCGACGCGTTGTAGATCCGAACTTTTACAGCCAGACTAACATCACGAAGGCGCCAAAGATGGCCCAGATTGGCATAAGCCGCTCTGGCTTTCACTATACGTGCATTGATCTCATCACTCACACCACCACCAGCACTTATGCAGCTACCCAGATACACGAACTTCTCGACCACTTCTATCTGCTCACCATCCAGGGTGAGTACAGGATTAGAAGCCTGCCAGTCTTGCAGAAGTACTTTGCACTTTGAAGGTGCAAAGCACATACCATACCTACGGACATTGATTGCCAACTGATTAAGTACGGATTGCATGGCTTGGGCATTATCGCACAGTAGGACAATATCATCCGCATACTCAAGGTCAAGAAGTCTTTCTCCAGGCAACAGATCCACACCACCATTACTTACATCCATCAGAGCTGTTTCCAGAATGTCATGAATGGCAATATTGAAGAGGAATGGTGAGATTGGGCAACCCTGACTAACCCCACTGCTTGAATGGAACAACGGAGAAAAGTGGTTGTATGCCCTCACTCTGCCTGAGGTGTTTGTATATAGGGCTTTAAGGATTTTAATAAACTTCTCAAGCACACCCTTCTTCAATAGACCATCCCAGAGAACAGTCCTGTCCAACGAATCAAAGGCAGCCCTGATATCAAGAAACACTACGATTGTTGGCCTTCGATAAGTATGGCGGTGTTCTAACATTTGGCGGAGGGTGAAGATATGATCAATACATCCTCGACCAGAACGAAACCCAGTCTGCTCCTTGCGAGTCAATCTTTCTCGGGTTTTGAACAACTTACGAAGTATGACGGGAGCCAATAGCTTGGAAGCAATCGGAAGTAGACTTACCCCCTGATAGTTGTTGTAGGAACGTGAGCCCTTTTTAAAGATAGGGACAACTATCGACTCACTCCATGACGTTGGTACACTCTCTAGTTCCCAGACCTTTGTAAACAACGTCGTCAGTCCCTTAGTCAGAAAGTCACCACCATCTTAAAAAAGAGCCGGAGGTAAGTCGTCTGGGCCCGGTGATTTGTAGCGTTTCAAGAGTTGGAGTTCCTTGCAGACTTCCGCCTCATTTGGTGGATCATTTGTCACCGGCCATGGAGGGCAGGACAGTCTGACCGATGTTGCCGGAGCAGCAGACCAGTTGAACTGCCCTTCGAAAAATTCCGCCCATCGACCAAGACGTCGATGGATGTTAGTGATTGGCGTTCCGTCATCCTCGCAGATTGTTTCGCTCACACCAGACTTCTTGCTGCCAGTGGCTTGGATAAGTTGGAAGAGCTTCCGGTAATTACCAGATGCAGCTGCTGCTTCCAGCTCGTTATCACGCTCCGACCACCAGGCCTTTCGGTCCTTACGCAAGGTTTGCTCGATTTAATTACGTAACATCCTTCGTTTGTGGTCAAATTCACGGTCACCCGGAGTAGACCGACGGGCTTCAATGAGTTGTAAGGAACCAGAAGAAACCCAGTGCTTATAAGCGGGACGCTTCGCGAATCCACAACAGACTTGACCCGCCATTTTCATGGCGTAATGCAATTGCAACCAATGCTTATCTATACTTTTCGGTGGAATGGTAGCTAGCCTAGAAGCTAGCTCGATTCGATACTTACTAGCAACAGAAGTTGCAACCAGCTTGCTAGCATCAATCCTTTGGTGGCGGTCACTCCGTTGTCCACTGAAAAGTAAGGTAAGATTGGCGCAGACCAGGGCATGATCAGATTCCAGATAGGTACTTCGAAAGGAGCGGCAGTCTTGTACACAACCACGCCAGCGGTAGCTGATTGCGATGTGATCAATCTGCGTCCAGGCTTGAGATGCAGAAGGAGGACGCCAGGTGGCACATTGGCGATGACTGTGTCGCAAGTTAGTGCTATCCAGAAACAAGTTATGGTCTGTGTACAGTTGCAGTAGACGGTCCCCGTCATCTGTCCTGCGACCAACGAGTCCCTACCGGCCACCTAAACGACTCTCTTCTGTGCATAGACGCCCGACCTGAGCATTCAAGTCTCCGGCTAGTACTACAATATCTGTCGAACGCACTTTCTGGAGAAGAACAGTTGACTGGTGCTAGAATTCATCCTTGATTGCATCCGGGCTGCGATCTGTCGGAGCATAGGCGGAGATGACGAAAAGACATCGTTTCTCACGCCCATTTCTTCTCACTTTGATAAAACTTTCTAATCTAACAGCACATAACCGACTGTTAATGGGGATCCAGTCGATTAGTGCTGCCTCAGCTCTAGCGCTTAGTGCGACACCAACGCCAGCAAGACCAGACGAAGATGCCACAGGGTCCCCGCATAAACGCACGTAAAACAAGCTTTTTGAAGCGACAGATGGAGAGCGAATTTGTAGTACTTCACCAGAGTCTTGAATACGGGTCTCGGATAGACAACACACGTCCATATCAAGACTTTCCAAAGACATAGCCAGCCCTATCTGTTGTCCGACCTGCATAAGTGTGCGAACGTGGAAGGCAGCCAGTTTGAGTGGTGCACGTGGTTTCAGAAAAACTGCTTCAGTACTCGTATTCGATGGTAACATACAATTTTCAACCAGGCAGTGACTCGAGAACGTTTAGATAGAGCCGAATGTCCACCAAAGGCGAGCTGCTGTATAAGTCGAAAAATAAGAATAGGCAGAGTGGGAATGAAAGAGAGTGAATAAATGACGTGGTAAATAATAATAATAATAATAATAATAATAATAATAATGCGAGTTATTTGATTGTTAATCGGGGCGAAAAGAATATTTTCCATTAGTACACTGTTCATCATGTTTTTGTGTGTAGGCTGAGATACTACCCAGGTGCCCAAACCGAAGCAGGTGGTTTTCTTAGAGGGCCACACCCCGAGCCTTTGACCTAAAAGTCTAACCCACAAGTCAGTGGAGCATCGTGAGGAGATGCAGTCCCATGGAAGCCGGTGACCAAGAAATTGGTTCATACGCCATTTGTTCCCGCAGGATACTGGAGCCCATGTGCACCATTGGTTTGGGATCCGGTTAAAGCGCCGGACATTCGCTTTTCGTCCTCTCATTATCGTAAACAACAGTGATGCCACGAGAAGGCAGTGAGTAGTACTTCCCTGGCAGAGGCTGTATACGCGTAGCCGTGTGAGAGTATTTCGAGAGGGAGGGCGGGCTCACTCCACCTTCGGCCATACCAGGGCATTTGTGTAATCTAAACTCAAATGGTCACACGTACACACTCTATATTTCAATTTGACAAGTTTTAACCTCCAAGATATATGTATAGCAAAGTTTATCAATAAATCAGTTACTAAAAAACTGTAATGACGCCATTCCTAGATAAGTTGATTTCACGCAAAAAAGATAATCTCCACGTCCTGTTATTTGCTATACGTATAAGTCTGTTTGATTGTAGCACCATCTTTAACACCTTTTTTTAGTATATATGATCAGTTAATTTAGTATAATTGTTTCTTTTTAATATTCCTTTTCAGAAGGAAATATCGGCGCTGAAAGATAAATGTGAATTAATCGAAGCTCAGTTAATGGTAAGTTGGTTTATTCTTTACGAATTCGAAATCTAATTTGCATTATTTTTTTAGAAGGAAAATCAACTAAATCATGATGAACTTTCTCGAAAAGATACGGAAATTGAGGTTCACACTTTGTTTTATTTAATTTTTAATTTATTTATTGAACCTTATTTATTCGCTTATAGTATTTTATTTCAATTTTGTGTGATAAGTACCTAAATACCATATTATATGAAGCGTTTTTCATGTAATTTGTGTAATAAATCACACTAGAGATGATAAGTTAGTATTATTATTTAAAGTTTAATCAGTTACCGCATTTTACATCATAATAGAGACTAAAAATTCAACAGAAGTTCAAATTTATTAGATTTAACAAGAAAAACAAAGCTGTCTACAGCTGAGCCTAAGGATCTACTCTGAGAATGAGAGAAACACTGTTTACCTTACTGGGTTCAACCTGTATTACCCTCTTGAACCCTTTCTAGCCAATGATCCGTTTGTCTAACAGCGTTCAAAGTAATGGGGATATGGGTTTTGCCAGTATCCCAATTGCTTCTTTATTATATCCGTACCAATAATCAGTTAGAGTTTAACGATATTAATCAGTAGTTGCCTTAAAAGGCTTTACATTGTAATATTGATTTGCTCATATTTTAGCAATAAAAATGAGCGCTTTTTTACTTTCTTACCATTGTTTTTTAGCGCTTAAATAATCAAATCAATGAATTAATTGAAAAGTTGGATACATCGTTGTCTGTTCGTGAAAAACTACACTTCGATTTAGATCATTTAACTGAACAATTTGTAAGAACTAAACGTGAATGTACAGATCTCCAGGATCAACTAAATTCAGTAAATCTTTTGTTTAAATGTTGCTTATTTATTTTAATTGTTATTATAAACTAATTTAATATGTAACTTTATCCAAACTATATTTTGCAGTATGTTCAGAATCTGATCTTTATTAAGCTTCATTGAATGCGAAGCATATCAACTTGAACAATTTTCTAGTTAGTATGTAAATATGTAGTTTTCTATAACTTTAATCATAAATTTAAAATTCATGCTGCTCATTTACAGAGTGGAGATCTATCTACTTAACTTCGAGCTTCACTTTAAATGTGAAAGCTAGTGATATCGTACTCCTCTGCTTGAACTGAAGTAGTTGTTGTGGGTTTGAAACCAGCGATTAAGAGTAAGATTCTATAACCACCGAAGGATCACTCAAAAAAAAAATAACTGAAATTCTATATGTCTAATTCAATTAAAATGTTTAAGCGAAGGATGATGAAGGCCTTTTTCATTCGAGATAGAATTTCCATTCTCTAATGCGAATACACATTTTTTGAAGTTTTAGACAAGATATTAAGAGAATAAAAGGTTCTCATCATAGAGCACCTCATGATATCAAGTAGTTGACTTAATTTTAATGTTTTTGTTAGCGTTAATAAACTTGATCCCTAACTGGGTATATTGATACAATAACTTGATGAGAACCGTTTTTGTGCATCCTGGTGAAGTTTCATGTTAATAAATCTTCATTATAATAAAGTATAAAAGAACATTAAAGAATGCTTTAAAATGAGGGAGAAAATTTATTTTTTAGTTGTGTACAATTGAACCATTTAACTCAGGAAATTCAACACCATCAAGAGAATGCTTTAAAATACGAGCGAATAAGATCACTGCATGAATATGCAATCTTAAAAAACCAGGTGGTAAGTGAATTTATTTCGTCCACTAGTATCAATTTGAAAAGTTACTGACGATTATATACTCATCATTTTTCTCAGAAAAGTATTGTTTTATGGGACTGTAATTTATGAACGGACCAACCATATTTAAGGTAGAGGGGCTTAGATTTTGGCGCGATGTTCATTCACATACATCGATAAATAGCATTTCGGCTATATAGCTGATATCAGTTCTTGGTCGAATCCCTAATACTTATTTCTAACTTTTACTCCTGATTTTAATTTCTCCACTAATAGCTAGTCTTATTTTGACACTAGTAATCGGTTGAAATTTCTCAAGGCCACTTCAATTATTATTCGAAAGTCATCCATAAATTAGTCTTGTCATATATTACTTAATATTGTCTTTTCACTACTTGTTGTTGGATTATTCATGCAATTATTCTAATTTACCTTGTCACACAGTTATTCATTTTACATCGATTGTAAAAAGGAACCATGTGTGAATCCATTTATGAATTTTAACTGTGTGTAGCAAAGTCGGAAATTATCATACTGTTTTTCTCAGAACTCTCCGTGTCAATTAAAATGTCTCAGGCTCTGTGGAATTTAGTTAAGAGAGTCCTTATCGTTTATCTATTCAGTTTCCGGGGTTTCGGAATCAAATTTTATTATACAAAGGAAGATAGTATATTTAAAGTATCCAATAAGTTAACCAATTTAGATTGCATTAGATTCCATTGTGTTTTGTCTCATTAATTATCACTTCTCTGATACATTCTAGTCTGTTTTCGTATGTTTGCTATCCATTATTTTTGATATTTTTGTTTCAAAATGGTGTCCAATTTTTGAATTTCACTTACAGTTTAAGACCTCAGGTCAACAAAAATGTATTGAAACTGTGAATGTGGATAAGAATAATGAAACGAACGTTATGTGCACACCACATACAAATTGTACCACTGATAATCAGGAGACAGGTTCCATAAGTCGCTTACGCAACCTATATGACTTGATACATGATTTAATGTTAAGGTTGAATGATGTTCGTTTTACTCAGGTAAGTATTTCTAATATTATTACAATCTACCTTGTGGGTCACCATAACGCGTCTCTTTTTGTCTGTCTTGTAGCATCTAGTTCTCTCAAATAACGTTTTTCTGTCAAATGTTTAGCAGTTTTGGGTTAAATTTCTAAATATTTTTAGTTAGCTAATTATAGATATAATACAGCCCAAATGTTTAAATTCACTTCATAAGCGACAACCATTTTTAATCTAATTATGGCATGCTGTGCTAGTTATTTTTTTCATCCTGGAATCCTTTCGTTAGTTTAATATCGGATTCCAGTTTTCCGTTGTTTACTAATCGTACTAAATCAGTCAATATCTAGTTCATATAGCATGATTTAGCTATAGAACACTATCCAAGACTTTGGGGTGTTGCCCCAAAATACCATGGTATGGCCAAGAGTGGGGTGCGTTCGCCCGGCCACGCGTAAACAGCCTCTGCCAGGGAAGTACTACTCACTGCCTTCTCGTGGCATCACTGTTGTTTACGATAATGAGAGGACGAAAAGCGAATGTCCGGCGCTTTAACCGGATCCCAAACCAATGGTGCACATGGGCTCCAGTATCCTGCGGGAACAAATGGCGTATGAACCAATTTCTTGGTCACCGGCTTCCATGGGACTGCATCTCCTCACGATGCTCCACTGACTTGTGGGTTAGACTTTTAGGTCAAAGGCTCGGGGTGTGGCCCTCTAAGAAAACCACCTGCTTCGGTTTGGGCACCTGGGTAGTATCTCAGCCTACACACAAAAACATGATGTACAGTCTACTAATGGAAAATATTCTTTTCGCCCCGATTAACAATCAAATAACTCGCATTATTATTATTATTATTATTATTATTATTATTATTATTATTATTATTATTATTATTATTATTATTATTTACCACATCATTTATTCACTCTCTTTCATTCCCACTCTGCCTATTCTTATTTTTCGACTTATACAGCAGCTCGCCTTTGGTGGACATTCGGCTCTATCTAAACGTTCTCGAGTCACTGCCTGGTTGAAAATTGTATGTTACCATCGAATACGAGTACTGAAGCAGTTTTTCTGAAACCACGTGCACCACTCAAACTGGCTGCCTTCCACGTTCGCACACTTATGCAGGTCGGACAACAGATAGGGCTGGCTATGTCTTTGGAAAGTCTTGATATGGACGTGTGTTGTCTATCCGAGACCCGTATTCAAGACTCTGGTGAAGTACTACAAATTCGCTCTCCATCTGTCGCTTCAAAAAGCTTGTTTTACGTGCGTTTATGCGGGGACCCTGTGGCATCTTCGTCTGGTCTTGCTGGCGTTGGTGTCGCACTAAGCGCTAGAGCTGAGGCAGCACTAATCGACTGGATCCCCATTAACAGTCGGTTATGTGCTGTTAGATTAGAAAGTTTTATCAAAGTGAGAAGAAATGGGCGTGAGAAACGATGTCTTTTCGTCATCTCCGCCTATGCTCCGACAGATCGCAGCCCGGATGCAATCAAGGATGAATTCTAGCACCAGTCAACTGTTCTTCTCCAGAAAGTGCGTTCGACAGATATTGTAGTACTAGCCGGAGACTTGAATGCTCAGGTCGGGCGTCTATGCACAGAAGAGAGTCGTTTAGGTGGCCGGTAGGGACTCGTTGGTCGCAGGACAGATGACGGGGACCGTCTACTGCAACTGTACACAGACCATAACTTGTTTCTGGATAGCACTAACTTGCGACACAGTCATCGCCAATGTGCCACCTGGCGTCCTCCTTCTGCATCTCAAGCCTGGACGCAGATTGATCACATCGCAATCAGCTACCGCTGGCGTGGTTGTGTACAAGACTGCCGCTCCTTTCGAAGTACCTATCTGGAATCTGATCATGCCCTGGTCTGCGCCAATCTTACCTTACTTTTCAGTGGACAACGGAGTGACCGCCACCAAAGGATTGATGCTAGCAAGCTGGTTGCAACTTCTGTTGCTAGTAAGTATCGAATCGAGCTAGCTTCTAGGCTAGCTACCATTCCACCGAAAAGTATAGATAAGCATTGGTTGCAATTGCATTACGCCATGAAAATGGCGGGTCAAGTCTGTTGTGGATTCGCGAAGCGTCCCGCTTATAAGCACTGGGTTTCTTCTGGTTCCTTACAACTCATTGAAGCCCGTCGGTCTACTCCGGGTGACCGTGAATTTGACCACAAACGAAGGATGTTACGTAATTAAATCGAGCAAACCTTGCGTAAGGACCGAAAGGCCTGGTGGTCGGAGCGTGATAACGAGCTGGAAGCAGCAGCTGCATCTGGTAATTACCGGAAGCTCTTCCAACTTATCCAAGCCACTGGCAGCAAGAAGTCTGGTGTGAGCGAAACAATCTGCGAGGATGACGGAACGCCAATCACTAACATCCATCGACGTCTTGGTCGATGGGCGGAATTTTTCGAAGGGCAGTTCAACTGGTCTGCTGCTCCGGCAACATCGGTCAGACTGTCCTGCCCTCCATGGCCGGTGACAAATGATCCACCAAATGAGGTGGAAGTCTGCAAGGAACTCCAACTCTTGAAACGCTACAAATCACCGGGCCCAGATGACTTACCTCCGGCTCTTTTTTAAGATGGTGGTGACTTTCTGACTAAGGGACTGACGACGTTGTTTACAAAGGTCTGGGAACTAGAGAGTGTACCAACGTCATGGAGTGAGTCGATAGTTGTCCCTATCTTTAAAAAGGGCTCACGTTCCTACAACAACTATCAGGGGGTAAGTCTACTTCCGATTGCTTCCAAGCTATTGGCTCCCGTCATACTTCGTAAGTTGTTCAAAACCCGAGAAAGATTGACTCGCAAGGAGCAGACTGGGTTTCGTTCTGGTCGAGGATGTATTGATCATATCTTCACCCTCCGCCAAATGTTAGAACACCGCCATACTTATCGAAGGCCAACAATCGTAGTGTTTCTTGATATCAGGGCTGCCTTTGATTCGTTGGACAGGACTGTTCTCTGGGATGGTCTATTGAAGAAGGGTGTGCTTGAGAAGTTTATTAAAATCCTTAAAGCCCTATATACAAACACCTCAGGCAGAGTGAGGGCATACAACCACTTTTCTCCGTTGTTCCATTCAAGCAGTGGGGTTAGTCAGGGTTGCCCAATCTCACCATTCCTCTTCAATATTGCCATTCATGACATTCTGGAAACAGCTCTGATGGATGTAAGTAATGGTGGTGTGGATCTGTTGCCTGGAGAAAGACTTCTTGACCTTGAGTATGCGGATGATATTGTCCTACTGTGCGATAATGCCCAAGCCATGCAATCCGTACTTAATCAGTTGGCAATCAATGTCCGTAGGTATGGTATGTGCTTTGCACCTTCAAAGTGCAAAGTACTTCTGCAAGACTGGCAGGCTTCTAATCCTGTACTCACCCTGGATGGTGAGCAGATAGAAGTGGTCGAGAAGTTCGTGTATCTGGGTAGCTGCATAAGTGCTGGTGGTGGTGTGAGTGATGAGATCAATGCACGTATAGTGAAAGCCAGAGCGGCTTATGCCAATCTGGGCCATCTTTGGCGCCTTCGTGATGTTAGTCTGGCTGTAAAAGTTCGGATCTACAACGCGTCGGTGAGAGTAGTTCTACTCTATGCTTGTGAAACCTGGCCTCTCCGAGTTGAGGATGTTAGACGACTCTCTGTGTTCGATCATTGCTGTCTCCGAAGGATTGCTGGCATCCAGTGGCAACACCATGTCAGTAATGCAGAGGTTCGGCATCGTGTGTTCGGGCACAGAGACGATAATGAAATTGGTGTCACCATCTTGAAACACCGACTTCGGTGGCTTGGACATGTTCTACGAATGTCGTCCCAGAGAATTCCTCGTCGTGCATTATTTGCCGACTCTGGGACTGGTTGGAAAAAGCGGAGAGGTGGTCAGTGTATGACATGGTGTCGTGGTATGAAAGAAAGCTGCAAAGGGCTGGCTTGTGTTGGTCCTTCACGACTCCCTGGCTGGGGTTCGAGAGATGGTGTAACACAGTGGCTAGAAACGTTATCAGATGTGGCTCAGAATAGAAGCTTGTGGCGATCCTGCTGTAACTTTCTTTTACTTTCTTCATAAAAAGTGGTTGCTTCTTCCTTAACTGTAAGATTTCCTCTGATTGTACCTTTTCGTTTCCCCCATTATTGTTCTTTTTTTAATAATTCCCTACGTTCCTTACCTGTTTTTTCCCTTCTCTTTAAATTCTGATTGTTTTGTGTGGCGCATATATACTTGGTGCCCCCCTGTACCAATATTTATCTGTTCAAATATATAAATGATGAACAGTCTGTCCAGGATCTTACCATTTTATGCTAACTAGAATGAATAATGTATAACATTAATAGATAGGTCTATAATCCTACTCCTTAGTATTCCTATTTTGTATTTATTTTTGCATATTACTATCATCTGACTAACTCACTTTAAGTCGATTTTAGTTATCCAACAAACTGGTGCCGCCTTTATTTGATTGTGGGATCATGATTCGACACTTCGATTTAAAGGCTTGATTCACTTGGCTTTATAGTTGTCAGTCAGCCTTACAGAAATATATTGTACAATTATTTGGATTATATAATTTAGATTTATATATTGATCACCAGTTTTGTTTCTGTTCATTTATCATAAAAGTTGATTATTTATTAAAGATACGGTGAATAGTACATGCTTATTGGGTAGAAAGTTAGGAAAGTTATTGCTGTAACATGGTTCGGGCATTAAATACAGAGTGATGCAAAATGTTTTGTATTCAGAAAATCTGTCGTATTTTATCTGGAAAGCAAAACAACTTGATTTTTCCAACAGCTTTAATTTTTGATGAAATTATAATTGTGCCTATTTCGTTTCGTAAGTTTTTATCTGTATTGATGTTGTCGAGTTATCTATAGTAATTGTTTTCCTTGTTTTATTAACACTCGTAGATGGGCCATTAATTTCATTTTTACATTTCTCCCTTTTCTTCATTATTGTTATTCCATTACCTGTAGCATTCAGTTGTAGAAATGATCAATCGTAGTTTAGCAGCTGTGGATATCGAACACTCTCACGAAGTTTCTCCAATCCGTAAGGCTATTTCAGCTTCTGGTGGATTGGATCGTCCATCTTCAAATATCATTCCATTGAGCTTATCTCGAACAAATGCTACGTATGGCGGATTTAATACTTTGTTTGAAAATATGAGTGGTAGCATTAATAATCCTGTAGCGTCAAGTATTTATGATAATCCGACTTCAGAATCTATTGTATCAACCGAATTGAATGAAACTGTTGCTGAATTACGCTTTGGTTGTCCGAAATCTCCAGTTAGTACTAACTTAAAGTGTACTAGTACAGAACATAGTTATCTCGATATTGCAAAATCTTTTTCTAGAAATCAAACTATAAACAAAGCTGCAATAAAGAATATCAGTTTACGCAGAAAATTGTTCGGTGTATCACAGCTTAAGAATCAAATGAGGAATTTTGTTGAATCATCATCAATGTGTGAAGATTTCAAAACTTCTGGACAGAATGTTAAAAAATCAGAAGTATTATTTCACAGTTTCACAGAGGACATTCATGATGTCACTTTTAATAGATTGACAAGGAAACCAATAAATGCTGGAGATTTAACTATGGTTGAATGGGAGCATAAAGACATATTTGAACGCTTGTTAATTGCAGTAAGCAGTTATTTATCTGTTTGCTTTGATATAATAACAAGTTGATTTATTATATATATGAATTCAATACTAAGAGGTGTTACTTATCCTAGTTCATGATAAATGCCATTTCCTAGTATTGATTTTATGTTCAGATCATTGAAATGGAAAACATTACAATTTCTTATACAATATGAAGATAATTTTTATCAGAATTAGCATTAACTATAAACGTTCTATCCAAAACGAAGGATTTATTCAATTTAAAGTAGATTAATTCAATGACTGAAGTTTCCAAACCTCTTAGGAAATTTACAGTTTAAAATATCTCTAAGAATGTAAATGTAAATAATCATCAAGTAAATACGTTCTGTATTTTTCTTTTCTTCCGAATAAGGTAGATTTCACACCAAACTATATTTTTCAAATGTCATACAATAAGTACAATACAATATATCAAAATGTTTCTATTAATTTCCATGACTTTAATTAGCTAATCTTCTATGATACTACATATCATTTCAATAAACATCATTAAAAAAGGCATACTTACATCAATAAATATGTAGTAGTAATATTGCTTTTATCCTGTAACCTAATCGTAATTGTTTTACATAAAATCAGATGTCTTTTTTTGTTAGTCATATCCCTAAATGAATTTTAGCGTTCTAATGTAAAAACTCAAGATCATATCATTATAATAACTGAGATTTCTATTTTCATATTCATTAATTCTTTATTCCACTTCAAGTTTTTTTCACTAGATAACATTGTCATCGGATGAGATTTTAATGATGTCATATTCCCGGAAGACAATTCCTGATTGTAGTTATACTGTTTACTTAGAAATCTTTGTCAACATGTATTTCTATTTTTGTCACTATTCACTCTATAATTAATTATTTGGTTTAAAATTGTATCCGAAAGAAAAACATTTGATAGTCTGATTCATTTTTCAAATAATGTTTGAGAATATCTTCACTTCAGAAATTTTTTTAGTTGATTTAAAAATGGTGCGAATTTATTAGGTTGCTGAAAATTCTATGAATTTGATTCACTGTAAGTTTTAAAATTGAATGAATCGTTTGTTGGCATACTGGTAAATAATTCTTCGAGCTTATCATGTTACTGCAAATAATAGTATTAATAAACTGAGGCTTCCTCAATAATAATTCATTAAACAGCCTATAATTAGTAATTTCAATTCGATAATTATTGGCACAGCTAGTAGTATACACTTTTCTATTTTTCTAAATTCATTTGCCAATACCAAATTTTTAAAAAAATATTATCGTCTAGATGTCACGACTACGTGATGCCATTGAAGAATGCTCAGATATTGGTTCTGAATTCTGGGATTTAGATGTAAAAAAACATTTATCAGTTCTACTTACTAGTCAAATGGATTCATTTCACGCTCATGTAAATCGGCCTAACGATTCAATCGCTGATGATGATGGTGACTCAGTAGATCTTGATGCAAAGGAAGCTGATAAAATGATCTTAAAATCAGCTGATCGCAGTGCTCGCTTCGATGGCGGTCAGTTACCTCCGTTCGATCCAATAGGTTTTATGAGTCAAAATGAAGAGGCTAGTTTAAGCCAATTGTATGGATCAGCATGGCGTCATCCAATGTAAGTAATTTACCTTTTTCCGTCTTTTTTTTTGCTTCAGAACTGACTGACTTTTAATGTCAATCGAATGTGATAAATAGTGCAATCTCTGTTGTTATCGAGATTTCAGAATAAATTCCTTTTTGTCGATAAGTAATAGGTTTTTTTTACATTATTCGTAATTAGTATTTGTATTATGCTCACACTGGTATACTGCAAATAATATGAATTTTTTTTTTCGAACAGACTTGATTTTGTACTACCTCTCATGTAATTGTATTGGAACTTGATTTTTAGTCCTTTCGCGACAAATACATTGATTGATATTTAAGGTTCTGAGTTTCATATTGTTTTTCTTAACTTGAGCTCAATACTTAGTTAAAATAAAAAATGTAGCGATTGAATTTATTACATTATATTTCATAGTTATCCATAGGGTTTTCTTAATTAAATTAAGAAAGTATACTTTAAATGTGTTTCAGTTTCTTATCACACAAGATGATCTTAAGTGCTCTTAGAAGTATGAGGGCAGTTTTCGCTTCCCAACTGCCTACAATGTGGAAGGGTACTTCTTCAGTGACCTGAAACGAAAACTGGATTATTACTCCCCATAGAGACTTGGAAGCGTGACCACACCGCCCAAGGTACAGTTGCTTGAAACCGGTCACATGCAGCATTGCTGTAAGAAGTTCACAATGCATCAGTTCTGTGTTTCAAAAGTCACTATTACTGGAAACGGAAGTACGTGGCCTAAGGTGAGGTGTGACATTTCTGGGGCCAATGTTCAAAGGTAGATAGAATTTCTGCAGCTGCTGGTTGCCTGAAGGGAACACGATTACTGTCACACCTCGATCAGCAGTACGACTTCGCTTTCGGACCATGAGTTAGCTGCTTTCAGTTTTGCCGTTTCTCAACCGACCTGCCTCACATATCAGGGCCTAAAGGAACAGTTCTTCAAGTCGATCTAGCTCGATTATGTCATTGCTATAGGTAACCACGACCAAACTACGTTAAGGTTGCATCCACAAGATCGAATCTTCATTTCGGAGCTCTTAGAATAACTCATTTAGAGATGATGAAAATTTTTATCACCATACAACTTGTGTAAACTTGTCTTTTAGGTTTAAAATATCACTAGTTTTGTAGTTTTGTTTTACAGAACTAATTCCGATTGCAATTTTTATTACATTGAGTTTTAACAATTATTACTACACCTTTCTTATTTAACTGAAATGCATTAGAGAATTTCATCACTTGGCTTTATGTTTTACGGAAAATTATTTTTGTATTTATTGAATTATTTACTCTAAAGGGGCATTTCTACGAAGTTACATGATATGAAAAATCTTAAGATACTCAGCGAACAGTCACTCAACCAATCATACATTGATATGAATGGGCCTCTTAAAGAATCGTCCATCCAATTGATGAATAATCCTAATAATGATGATAAGTCACTGTGTGAAGCAAGAGACTTAAATAATAAGATTATTGCTTTGGGAGCGGAAAATTCCACTCTAAAGGTGTGTTTAAAAAAACAATGTTTTGTTGCATTTTGTGTTTTTTTCCTGTTTTTTTCTTGACTTTTACATAATGTATGTATCCTTTGAACTTGAGTTAATTAGTTACTTGTAACTGAGATACGAAAAACTATTTTTCATTTATACTTATACTGTTTTTCAGACAGATAAATTTAATTACGCAGTAATTAAAATAACTATCATTTATACTGTAATAGAATGGTTATTCGTTATTTTGATAACACCTACGAACAAAATGTAACAAATAATGGTATTCTGGAAAGAGATAACAAAACAACAATTTGTGTGGGAGATTAACCACCATGTTATAGAGATAAGATAAATGATTTAAGTGTTGTCTAATTAGTTGACCCACTGCTCTTAGTCGTACATGCTTAATGTATATGGCTACTGATATTAAATTGGAGTTTCTTCGTTTTACAATGATTTGATAAGATGAATAATCAAGACATCACTGGAATTTCAGAATGATTTATCGTTTTACAAGTTTTTGTAGAGGTGTGATTTAATATTACTCTGACAATCAAGCTCAGGTAATTTCCTTTGTTTCATAATATCATTTATTGAGCATTAGGTGGCCGTATAATATTATCGGCCTCCATACAATAGATTTAACTCATAATTCGGTTTTCTGACAACATTCTGTAAGCATTTCTGATTGAAGTAGGTGGTTGTGGTGGTGTGGCTATATTTCTTGGAGAAAGACTTCGGTCTTCAATATGTGGATGATATTATCTTACTGTGAGATGATACTAAAGTTATACCAATTACATTTAGTCATTTGTGAGTCAGTGTCTGTAGATAATCTATGTTATAACCTTCTAAATACTAAGTACTTTTATAAGACTGGCAAAATCCCGTGTCTGTACTTACTCTTGGCGACTATAACTCCATTAAAGTCACCATTTTCAAATACCATCGTGCATTATTTTCCGACCCTGGGACTGGTTAGAAGAGACAGAGAGGTGGTCCGTTTAGGACATGATGTCGTTGTATAAAAGAAATCTGTCAGTCTATCATGACTTTGGCTGGGGTCCAAGAGACGTTGCAGCTCAGTGACTTGAGGTGTTATCAGGCATGGCTCAGAACGGAAGCTATTAGCAGTGCCGCTGTAGTTTTATTTCACATTTTTCATAAAATTGTGGGCAACTCATTTGATTAAAAGAATCGATCGTGGTTTATTTTGGTGCTCATTTGCACCAGTACTTTGTAATATTTTGATGTATGTTTACTCTACTTTCAAATGCTTACATGCTCTCAGTTTCCTTGTATGACTTGTATGTTTTATATTTTTTCATGGAAACTTGCTTATGCTACGTAATTGTTGGTGTTCCTTAATTTTTCCAGAAGGTCATTACAGATTTACGTGATAAAATGAAGGTTTCTGGAGTACTAAATCAAAGTGACCATATTTCTCGCGAAGTTCTTCATACTGAACCTGATAGCTCTATATCGTTGGCTCCGTATGTTGTGTTTGAAAATCCACGAACCGAAGAGCTTTCAAAAGTATTAGCACAATGTCAACAAGAAAATCGTGAATTAAGGGAACAATACAGTCGTCTGCATAATGTGCTTTCAACACCTTCAAATAATGAAAATGTTGACATCGGAAACGCTGAACTGTCTAATAATGTTGCAATTATCCATACCATTATCAAACGTCTTCAAACTGTAGTTAACTCTGAAAGTGAATCTGCAAATGTTATTGATTTGGTCGACACTGTCACATCAGAGCTTGTTGAATCTCGAGATTCAATCACTAAACTGGAAAAATATCTAAGTGAATCAGTATCATTATACGACTATCAATCTTTAGAAAATGAAATGGATTCACTTAGACAAGAACTTCATCAAGTACTAGAAAAAATTAATGAATATAAAGTTGATGTTCAATATGCATGTGATAATTTAGCTCCTTTATTACTTTTTAATGAATCTGTTGCCTTGAAAGTACTAGTTGATGATGTAATAATAAAATTAAATGATCAAAAAAATTATTCGGATTCTCTCACTAATGAGCTTCAAACAATACTTCATTCAGTTAATTATCCAATTCCAGAAACACTTGATGAATGTATTAAAATAATCAAGAACGATTTCTCAAATTATAAAACAACTATTGATCAATTAAAAGCAGATAAAATTAATGCTATAAATATGATCAAAGAATTAGCGCCTCAAAATGAAGATTTACGTACATTATCTGATTATATTGGTTGGTTTATTGGTATTTTCAACGATAAACAATGTAACTTTGAAAATCTAGAACAAAACTATTTAATCATTCAACAATCACTATGTGATACAGTTCGAAAATATGAAAATCTTGAAGCTACTGTAAATGAACTTAATGATAAACTTAAAATATCTAAAAGTCTAGTTGAAAGTTTAGAAACAGAATTAGCTGATACTATTAAGTCACATGTACCAATTGAAGATTACGAATCAATTGTTACACAAATTAATTCAGTTGAAGAAGATCTTTCTAAAGCTCGATCAAAAGTTACTGAATACGAACAAGAATATGATTTTATTAAGAAATTAGTCGAAAGTACATTGATGAAACAATCAATCTGCTTAAAACGCGATATTGAAGAGCTATGTACAAGTTTTAATGTATACAGTAAATCTTTGGGATCGAATGAAGCTGCGAGAAATAAATTCGAAACACATTCAACACAAACAGAAAGAGAAAATGGGAAATTGGTTATTGAACAAACTTCGTTTATAAACATACCTGATACTTCGTCGTTGATAAATGATGACATTGTCAGGGAAGAGGATATTAAACTGAAAAATTGTTTTACTAAAGAAACTGGATCTGATCAAGTAAATGTAGAGCCTCAGAATAATATTCAAATCAATGATGTTGGTAAACCTACACCAAATATTCGTAAATATAATGAATTAAAATTTGCAGCATTCGAAATAAAAAATAAGCTGATTAGTCGTACGCAGTGAGTTATTTATTGTTAATCTACGCGTTTATTTTTAATTGTCCTATCATCAACTAATAACTAAATAATAATACAAAAAGTACTTTATCAATCAAAACCAATACTTCAAATGTATCTTATTTATTTATTTGAACACATAAATATTGGTACAAGATGGGGACCAGATATGTATATGCCACACAGTAACAATGAGAATGGGAAGAGAAAAGGAATGTAAGGTGCATATAAGAGAGAAGAGAGGAAAAAAAGAGAACAATAACGATCACAGACTAGTGTAAGGTAGTGTAATAATAATAATAATAGAAACGGAAAGGTACAACCAGAAGGAATTCTTTCAGTTAAGGAAGAAGCAACTACTCTTTACGAAGAAAGTAAAAGAAAGTTACAGCAGGATCGCCACAAGCTTCTATTCTGAGCCACATCTGATAACGTTTCTAGCCACTGTGTTACACCATCTCTCGAACCCCAGCCAGGGAGTCGTGAAGGACCAACAGAAGCCAGCCCTTTGCAGCTTTCTTTCATACCACGACACCATGTCATATACTGACCCCCTCTCCGCTTTTTCCAACCAGTCCCAGAGTCGGCAAATAATGCACGACGAGGAATTCTCTGGGACGACATTCGTAGAACATGTCCAAGCCACCGAAGTCGGTGTTTCAAGATGGTGACACCAATTGGATTGTCGTTTCTCTGCCTGAACACACGATGCGAAATCTCTGCATTACTGACATGGTGTTGCCACTGGATGTCAGCAATCCTTCGGAGACAGCGATGACCGAACACAGAGAGTCGTCTAACATTCTCAACTCGAAGAGGCCAGGTTTCACAAGCATAGAGCAGAACTGCTCTCACCGACGCGTTGTAGATCCGAACTTTTACCACCAGGCTTCTCGGTTCCTACGCAAGCTTTACACGATTTAATTACGTAACATCCTTCGTTTGTGGTCAAATTCACGGTCACCCGGAGTAGACCGACGGGCTTCAATGAGTTGTAAGGAACCAGAAGAAACCCAGTGCTTATAAGCGGGACGCTTCGCGAATCCACAACAGACTTGACCCGCCATTTTCATGGCGTAATGCAATTGCAACCAATGCTTATCTATACCTTTCGGTGGAATGGTAGCTAGCCTAGAAGCTAGCTCGATTCGATACTTACTAGCAACAGAAGTTGCAACCAGCTTGCTAGCATCAATCCTTTGGTGGCGGTCACTCCGTTGTCCACTGAAAAGTAAGGTAAGATTGGCGCAGACCAGGGCATGATCAGATTCCAGATAGGTACTCCAAAAGAAGCGGCAGTGTGTGCAGTTATTTTATGTGCAACTCAAGTACTGCAACTGGTATGTTGTCACATCATGTTGCTTTACCATTCCCGATTATCTGATAGCCAACCTGATTCCTCCGACTGTTGGTGGGTTGACATCCACACCAATGTTTGTGTCTGCTGCTTCGATGCTCGGTGGATTCAATGGAGCTGGCCTATTCCAGAGTTCCTCAAAGCATGCTGGTCACCTATTCCTCTATTTGTTGTTGGATTGCCTTCTTTGTTCTTGAGTGGTCATTCTGATTTACAAAATCTCTCCGCTTGTTTCTTCATTGTATCATATAGTTGTCTCATATTTCCTTCTCTAGCGATTGTTGAATTTATGGTTTTTTATTTTAGATTGGTTTCAAACAGGCTATTATTATGTACCAGAATGTTATGAATAGCTGTTACGTCCTAGTATGGTTCTCACGAATATAGAGTTTTTGGCAAATGTGCTTTATTTTTGTATACGTGCAAGCTCTTTGTATATTTGACTGTAACTAACGTAAACTGTTTATTGTCGCGTATTTGTACTGTAGTATCCTCAGTTACTAACATTGTTTGTTGAGTAGTCGCTTGATTTTGATATTTACATCTTGCCGATCGTTTTCTATCTTCACATTAATGAGAGTTTCTTATAATATTTTTTTATTTCATCTGAAATGTCACAATAATGTTTGAAATTATGCTTATTTATCACACTGAAACACTCATCGGCAACATTCATTGTCTTTGTAGAAAACTCGAAATCGCCTTAAAAGAAATAGAAAGGCTTCGTGGTGTCATACAACAAGATAAAGAACGAGCAAGCGGTGCTCTTGAAGAACTTAAGGATTTACGTCAAAAAGTATGTTTATATATGCATTTGTGTATCAAATCTCTCGTGTTGTTTGAACTATTATATATATACTTTAGTTGATCTTCAACTGGTGTTGCTTTAATTTTTAGTGAACATACTGATAACGTCAATTAAGGTGCATGCCTGGAAACCGTCCTCATGTTTTTTTCTGATATCTTATGCATAATGGAGGGGTAGAAGTTCTACCTTAAACTATGAGTTCGTCAACATAGACTATACAAAGTATAATTCTGTTCGGTGAAAAGTGGGTTTCATGAAAATTTGAGTAACTGAGTTAGCATGATTTGGATTCTCTTCTTTCCAAGATGCCGGACTGATATACATCATGATTAAGAATCTTTCAGTGCCGAAGACGTATTCAAGCTTTATCTCCTAGATATTTAGTTTAAATATTATTTCGTACTTTTTATTCCTGGAATTCATTCTTTCTCGAAAAGTATTCCCCTGTGTTTACTCTTTTTCACTATCATTGATAATACTATCATTTCGACTCTTGCTATTCATCGTGTTGATTTCATCTCATCGTGCTGACTTGATAGGGCATCTTGAAGTAGTGGACGCGTTTTCAGGCTTTTTGTTAATTGTGACTTACTAACTGACTGAAAGTTTGAGCTTACTGGTGTTTTGCTTAGTTATTTTCACTTACTCGATCTAATTTATTCATATAAAGGCTTAGGTTATTAAACCGATTAGTAAAATTAACCTGGAATCAAATGCAAATTTCATATCACTTTGTGTTTATCATTTTACTGAAGAATATGAGGACTCCACAAAATTTATGTCTCATTAACGTCAATTATTATTCGCTTGACCACCAGCAAGGTTCTTAATACGTGAATTATGGAGTTGTTTGATAAGTTTATCATTATTTGACATTCAGATGTAATAATGGATATATCCGACCGTACTATTCGGTTATACAAACTACTCCACTAAAATCAATAGAGATCAGAATTATTAGTTTGTGTTAGTCAGTCAGTGATCTTGAGTGTTGTTAGAGGTATGAAGACGGTTATCGCTTCACAGTTTTCCACACCGTGGAAGGGTTCTTCTGTGGGTACCTGAAAACGAAATCGGGTTAGGAGTGGTCTTAGTGATCTGAGAGCGTCACTGCAGTGCCCAAGAAACAACTGCTTAAGGTCGGTCACACACGACCTTTTTGTGAATAATTTTCGTGTTGACTTCGTACTTGTTGGGATATTACCGCCGGAGACGGATATCCGTGGGATAAGGCGAGATGTGTATTTTTAGGATCGACCTTTTCTAACCCCACCCTTCCTTTGTGGGAAGGCAGCATTTCTGTACAGTCAACAGTAGAACTTCGCCCTCAGACATTGAGTTTGCTGCTTTTAGTCTTACCGCTCTTCAACCGACCTATCTAGTATGGTAGGACCTTGCGGAACTATTGTTCTTCAGGATAGGCAAGCCCCACCACCACGTCAAGGTAGCAGCAACGGTCGGGAGTTTGTGTTAACTCTGTTCGAAGTTCTGTTTTGTTGTAAATGGTCAAATATACGTCAAAAACGTGATATGTGAAAGCGTAATTGCGAATTCCTGTCAATGACTTTACAGGAGTTTTGTTTAATACTGTTATAAATATATACACTTCTTAGTATCACTCACTGTCCTTTCAATTTGAAGCTACCTGCCATTGTAAATATGCCACTGAGCTTATTTTCTGTCCATAATTAAGTGGATTCATAAGAAAGTTAATAATATTGTTTTTCAGCTCAATTATTATCAGTGTCTCTTGAATAAACTCACACAATGCTGAATAGTGTCAGCCTGTTTTCGTTAAGTGTTTTAAGGCAAGAAAATTGTCTAATTCAATATCAACTACTTATAAGTAATATAGTTCACTTACGCTAATCTTACTGTACTTTCAATCCGCTTTAAAGACCATTCAACATATCATAAGACAATAAATCCTATTGTATGTTATATTGGATAATTCAAGTTTGAATGAAAAATGAAACATTTAATGACGCATACTTCAGAAAAGATGGAAAAATAGGATATCAACTCCAGAATAAATAAAACGTGAACTTTTATACTGAATTTCTTAGAAATCAGTTTAAGTTTAATCATATCATATTGTTAAAATTAAAGACCTTGATAAGGTAATGTGGACCAAAGGTGCAATAATCCAGAAGTATACTGATTCAAGTGTACTTCTGCTTGACCATATAGTCCAATATAGTTATCCAGAAATGCTAGGACTAAGGATGTTCGTTTCACCATAAACCTGTTGTCTAAATACAATCACAAAAATGCAATTAAATTTTAAAATCATAAAATGTCCATTAAAATAGGGAGTATGTTAATTATTTTAGATCTCATGTGCTGAATCTTTTTAATAAGTAGTCGATTCTCAAAGTGTCGACTAACTGATCTACTGTAAACGGATTGATCAACATTTTTCTACACATATATTGAGTTAACCACTTAATTATTGTATTATTTCCCAGAAACGTTTAGAACGGATCGAGCCGAACCACGTTATATATATATATATATATATATATATTCTTTATTATAAAATTCACATATGACTACAACATGTTGTCTAACTAATTTATATATAAGGTCCTTCGAAAGAACCAAAGAATCAGAGATTTAGAAAATGATGTTGCCCGTTTGAAAGCTTGCTCATCTATGGTGAATGTTGGAAGTGTCCAAGTTAATGATTCATCGGCTCGGTAGGCATTTCACTGTGATTTTTTTAGTATTTTCTGTTTATATATAATCATGCACTACTTGGCGTTGAATATTATTTTACAAACAAGCTGAATTCTGCATACTGGTTAATATCTCATTGTAAAGTCACAAGAAATCGTAATGAAGTAGATTCTGAACACATGATTTGCTCATTTCATCAGTTTATTAATCATCTGACTGTATCCATGCTGCAGTATTTCAACGTTCTTAGCAAACTTTCAAAACATGAGAAATAAGTATTGTGATTTACAGAATAATTTTTTGTATGTGAAAGTGAGTATTCCTTAAAAATTCGTCCGCATACATAGTTCGTGGTTAATGGTGAAAAACATAACAAAATAAAATTGGAAGATATGTAAACCAATAAGGGTCGGATAAATGTTGGAGCATACGGATTCTGGATTCACTATGGAATTTCAGTATGTAGAAGCAGGAACTCTCGAAATCATTTGATGGTCATGTAATCACATTTAACCATATGTCTTAAGGTGTTTTAATCTCAGATTCATTGTCACCTATTGTCTTTATGTTACATACAATTATCCTGTCTCACCGTGAATTTCGTCGTCAATCTTCATCGTTCCTTTACTACTATTACAATTACTTTCTGTCCCCGTTCTCTTCGATTCTGTCTTCTTAGTTTTCCGCTGCCTAACGATCAACTTTTGATTGGTGCTACATACTACTTGTGTCCGATAACATAGGTAGCATACACCACACTATCAACATTACATTTTTTTATTGCTACTCTCGTACATCCATCCAAAACTATTTCAGTTTGTCTATCTAAATGAGATTGTTAAGGTGGCTGTAGCATTACCCTGGGAGAATACAAATTACGGCCCTTAAATGCCCTGGTATGGCCGAAGGTGGAGTGAGCCCGTCCTCCCTCTCGAAATACTCTCACACGGCTATGCGTATACAGCCTCTGCCAGGGAAGTACTACTCACTGCCTTCTCGTGGCATCACTGTTGTTTACGATAATGAGAGGACGAAAAGCGAATGTCCGGCGCTTTAACCGGATCCCAAACCAATGGTGCACATGGGCTCCAGTATCCTGCGGGAACAAATGGCGTATGAACCAATTTCTTGGTCACCGGCTTCCATGGGACTGCATCTCCTCACGATGCTCCACTGACTTGTGGGTTAGACTTTTAAGTCAAAGGCTCGGGGTGTGGCCCTCTAAGAAAACCACCTGCTTCGGTTTGGGCACCTGGGTAGTATCTCAGCCTACACACAAAATTGTGGCGCATATATATTTGGTGCCCCCTTGTACCAATATTTATGTGTTTAAATAAATAAATAAATATACAAATTACGACTTTTCGACATTATCTAATTACTTGATCATTGGGATAAGAATTACCACTTAGTACATCATAAATACTTCAGAGTAAAAGCTGTAGTTGAATGATTTTCGTGTTTTATTGAAAATTTTTTGCGGTTTAATATCCACTGTATCTACTTCAATACATAACTGAACCATATTCAGACACTATAGATGCCTTTTTAATGTTAAATATCTTAAAGAGGAGTTTTATTGTTGAAATGCATTCTTGATATGTCTTATTTATTGGCTTACGAAAGCATTAAGCAATTTCTTCATTGTTCAGTAGAAAGTATTTAATTCAGTAACAATCAACAGTCAGTCTTAATTATCCTTGTTATTTATATTTGATTTTGTGATTATTTTCGCGGTTATTAATTTTTTACATTCTCATTAATTAAATGTTGGTTACTTATTTACGACTTTTAAAAGATCATATACCAATATAATATCACTTTTCCGGGAATTCACATTCCCATATGATGTAACGCTTCCTAGTCGAATCATGATGTTAGTTTTCTCTTGTCTACGTAGTTCTATAATCTGACTGTAATCGAATTTTGACATAAGTCATCTACATATCCTGCTTAACAACGAGAAACATTTTAAAGGAAGTGACAACTCGTCGTTCTTTACTCTGTGTGCAGTTTTATAAGCTCCGTATTTATGTTAATCTCTAGCTAATAAATTGACTTGAACTGGAAAATACCATATAATAATATTGTAACACCTCGTGATCTTCCACCATATAACTATCCTATGTTTCAGTTCGTTTCAAGAAAACTATCTTCAATCTAGTATTTTCCAAAATTTGTATTAATTTAAATTAGGTTATTATCGGAACCGGAACAACGTCGAGGTTGTGAAGGTCAATTTGAATCATTTGACCAAGTAAATGCAGATCAATCAAACGGAGTCCATAGCTCTATAACAGCGTCCTTATTACGTTGTCCTGCTACACCAAGGAATGATTCAACCGAAAATCTTTTGGACCAATTAGCAGATTATACTGTTTCTTATGATTCTGCTTCAATGGATAATTCTCATGATCCTGTTTCATCAATAAATAACGAAGAGTTGGCCGCTACATTACACAATGAAGGTTGCATGTATGTCTTACACTAAACTGTTAAAATATATTATTAATTTTCAGGATGTAAGCTAATAACTAAAGTTAAGAAATGTAGTGATTTATTAACCTTTTAAATTAAGACCTGATTACACTAGTTGTTCTTATTCCATCAACAGATTCTACGAATCCTGTGATTTAACTCAGTGCAGTCATTGACATGTTCTTAAATCCTCATGTTTGCTGTAATTATTACAACTGAAATTGATACATGCAATACACTATCTAATTTACATAAACGTGACTTTCTCAAATAAATTTTTGTATAAAATATTTAATGATGAGTTCATTGTATGGTAATGGATCGATAGATGAATGCACCTTACACAAAAGTTCATCGATTCTGTTTTGCCACATTTCTTTGATATCACAAAAGACACTAAAGGAATTATGAACTAACAATCTTTGATAAAGCAATAGCTAATATGTTCATGCTTTCATGAAAGTTCATGAATAAATTCATTCGTGCTACAAAATGCTTCTATTTTTTGTTGCAATAATACTGATAATTGATAATTAACTTCTTCAGAATTGAAAATTTTACAAATATTGTGATTTTGTAAGTTGGTCGGAGTTTCTTGAATAGGACAATAATGGATTAGTAACTTCTTTTGTAGTCAACTACTGATTCTGTCGATTTGTATTTTTGAAATCAATCTTGAGTAGTTGTTGTCTCATCTTTTTTCAGATTAAAGAAAATTTACATAAGATCACCGTAATCAATCATATGATAATAATTTTAAATCGATCCTATAATTCCTCGATGTACTTAATACATACTTCACTTAAAGCCTCTTCGTCTGGACTTGACAATTTTTTTGGAATTATGATGTATTTACTATTTTTTCATGTTGGGTTTTGTGGCATAATACCTTTCAACTTGGTGTGAATAGCAATTTCGTTGTAAACTATACACTATTTCTCCTGAAATCTACTTTGTTAATCCCTTCCAATGGACCAAAGTTGATAGTTTCTGTATATTCTAAGTAATCTAACTATGAGCAAAGTTAAATGGTGGCTAATATTGGCATTCGGGACGCATGTTTCGTCGTATTTGGGACTCGTCAGTTGAATCTACCTTCGTCCCACAGTTGATGTTCTTTGCTTTTTCACTTCTTTTCTTATAATGGTTGTGACTTAAGGCAATATCGAGGGAATCCGTACAGAATGCACATGTGCCAATAAGAGACTGATCAATTGTAGTCCTAAACATCAATGTGAAGTTTCAAACAGAAAGACAAAATAAACTAGTCTAACTTTATATTTCCACCGCTGTGTCGTTTTCATTACCATCAAAAAATATAGATTTAGTCAGAGCTTCAATTGGGATCGCTCTGTCTATTTATCGTACCACTGTTTGATATCTGTTCTGAAGTATTAATGGAAACTTTTTGATGGACTAAACGTTACAATACTTACGTGACCTAATCCTAACTTTAAGAACATACACTAATATATCAGATAGGATGCGACTAATGTATCATTTTTACTTCCCTAACAATCCTATATTTATTATATGTAGTGTCAATCGTCTCTATATGTATGTCCTTTTTGTGTGTCCTGCCTAAATATATGTACAGATTTAAGAATATATGAAGTATATCGTTTCCCATTAACATCTCGCATTTTGACTATTCATAGACCATTTTAAGAATATATACTAAGATTTATGTGCAACGTATGTAAGCATTTCACCTAGTGAAGTCAAATACGAACTATGGGACATTCGAGGAAACATATTGGGTGACGATTCCATTTGTAATTCTGGCGGTTAAAAACAAATTCTTCCTATGTCATTCTTTATCTCCATTTCACGGCTTCTACTGTATTTTAATGATATACCTACATGTTAATTATTTCAAGTCCTTGTTGTGACGTCTGATTAAATTAAACGACGTAATGTAATATTGTTTTATTTCCTCTAAATAACACAAATCGTATACTATTTCTAGCGACCTCCTTTAGTTACTGTATTAAAATCAAGTGTTATTCTTTTAAAATTTTCGAATTCGACTGCTTAGCTTAAATTACCATTCATTGTAACTCTTAATTAGTTCACTGCCTTTTCTAAAAAGATTTTTTCTATTCAACAAATACTTATAAAACTATTAGTCGATGTCATAACTTGAACAAACTGCTGCCTGAATTGCATAATACAACCGTAAAATTAAAGAAATTGGTCACTTTAAATCTGTCTAATGAAGATTCTCTATTAGATGTTTTGAACAATGTAGAACAACATGGATCATTATCATCAATATCATATTCTCAATCATTGGTTGATAACCAAGTAAAAATTCCACATGCTGATAACATTGGTTTAATTGATCAGTCTGGCATAATGGATAATATGAAAACATTTATAGAGGTAAGTTTATTAGTCAACCATGTCAATATAATACATCAGTTCATTTCACTGTTTTCATTTTAGTATTTAATTTTGACTGAGTTTGTTTTTGATTCTGCCTAGTCGAAATATTTATCTCATGCTTTGTACTGATGAATAGCTTATATCTTCAATGGTCTATTTTACTCTGTAAAAATCTTGTTTTTAAGCTTTGAGTTACTAGCTAGAGCAGTCGTCTTTCGGTGACTAGGTTCGAGATTTATGGAGAAATATTCAACAAACCAATAATTTTATTATGATTAGTACTGTGAATATGTTGCAATATTTCCATTCACAAAGGGTTTTTAGTTCTGTGAAAACTGGAACAGCCATCTAAAATAGTTTATTCAGTTTTCTATTGTTTTGTATGAAGGCTCATATTTTATACAAGTCGGAGATAGTGGAAATCGCTCTTGTAATTTAAATTTCGCTTTCCGATCATCCCTTTCTATTTATTGCCATGATAAGTTTAAGATTTATCTTGTAGACTGTACATTCATTGATAGTCATTCTTCTCTTAAGCAATCTTTGTTGATTCGACTTTCACACATCCAAACGAATATTGGTGCTCATTGCTCTGATTGTGTCTACTAAATCGTTGTGACGCCGTTCAGCGTGGAAACCTTTCGTTATCAAATCACAGTGCACCCATAAATAGCTTCCGAGTTGGGATGATACATAATACTAAATTTATGTTCAAGCACTACGTATTTATTTTACTGTTGTCCTAGAAATATAACTGATTGGGTATGTAATTATTTAGATTTATTCTTTATTTATTAGTTATTCATGATTATTCAGTGTACTTTTTATTTCTCTTCTACATTTCTTTGTCTCATTGTACAAAAAGTTAATATTATTTTGATTTGACATTTTGAAATGATTGTGTCTTTATATCTTCCAAACATATTTCAGTCTCTTCATTATGCTCATGTAAGGTTACATTATTATGCAAGAAAAATGGATCATTTATGTATGTCTCTTGTTGATCAATCTGGAAAATGTTCTTTTAAAAATCAAAAAATATTATCAAGTAAGCCGATTTCATTTATCATTTTCTGTGTTCCTTGTGGTGATATTTTAAATGTATCTGCATTTTCAGATGCTCATTTAGTTGGAAAACTACCAATCAGTCATGAACTCATAAACGTTTTGATAACATATCTACTTGATTTCTGTTATTCTGAATGTGTAGTGATAAACACTGAAATCACTAGTACAAAATGAATGGTCAGTCTATTGTTTTGTAAGCTTAATCATTAATAAACGAAAGAAGAGTTTAAGTTGTTTAGTTTTACTCTTTGAAGTACATTGATTATTGATATCTGAAATATTACTTCTCTGTTGTTAATAACTTTTCTTTAGAAAATCACTATATACAAGAAAGTATAGTGTTCCCTGAAGGTAGTGTATCTTTGATCCCTGTTTCTGCTGAACATTTCATTTTCAAGTTCCATTTTTCATTATTGAATATTTGTTGTAGATTTTCATGATTCGTTGCCAACCAAAAGTTTACCATATCTTTGCTTTACAGTTAATGTTGACAAGTCAACTGATTTGCTCATTAGTATTATTAGAAGATTGGAAAGTCTATGCAATCAAAATGATGTACGTTGAATTATTGAATGAAGTTTTTGAACCGAATATTTTTCAAAATAGGTCAATATCCCTTAATTGATGCGTCTGTTTTCATCTTATCAACTAGTTCTTTGTATGCTTACCTGTGATACTCAGTGTTTGCAGCTCAATTTATGGACCTGATGCATTGACAAACAGTCAGATGTATTGTTGCTGTAAAGTACATTGATTACAAGTTTTAAGGTTCATAACGAAATTAATAAAGAATAAATGTAGAATATATTAAATTAAATGAGAAGGAACTAAACAGAAAATAAGGAATCGATGTCCTACGAGAATAATGGAAACACATCTGATTGATTGGTATATTTACCTAGAGTCTCAAATAGTTGACTTTTGTCATTCCGAAGATTTATCGCTAGGTTTACACGTTATTCTAATCAAACCAGCAGTTTATAACTTTGCTGACTAGTTATAGTCTGTCATTGTTATACTTCCTTTTAAGTTAATTCTGCTTCAGTCAACTGCATATGTAATCAATACAGCATGGCAACTTCAAAACTCTATTATAGTTATGTCCCAAGTTTTCAACACTCAATAGCAAAATCTTAAAATCAGATACATCACTTTATTCGAATTTCGTCAACCTAACGTCCACGTATCCCTGTTTCTTGAATTTTTAATTTAGAATTATACTTAGCTTCTATCTGTTTACATCTTTACTCGATTCTCAGTTAACGTGTTTTTTTAATGAATATTTAGCTTCATATTGCTGAACACTTTTATCGACTGGCCTTTTCATGTTTCATTTAATTCACACTTGTAACCTGATTTGTTTTTTATCACTTTGTGATATTTTTCCATATCTTCATTGTTTTTCTTGGGGAATTGTTTTCAGCTGCTTGATAATCATGTTATTGAAAGTATTTTACGAGATTCTCGTCAATTACTCAATTGGATTCAATGCCTAGGCGCGGAAAGTGTAAACAATGCATGTAACTTGACCAGAAAAGAAGATGATTTAAACACATGTCCACTAGAAGTAAAATCATCACTCAGTTCAGGTGAACGTGAAAAATTAAAAAGTCAAATAAAACATTATCGTCGTAAATATCACCAGTTATTACAAAGTGTAGACATTGTAACGAAAAATTGTAAGTTGGGATTTGTATATCACCATCCATCATTTTCTTTACAACTTAGATCGGTGAAGCAACTACACCGTTCATTTATTTAATAACTAAGACAATATTTATTACACTAATATTTTGGTCCTATTCAGCTACTAATCTTTCCATAATTTATCCTGTTGATTAACAGTGCTATTGAATGAGGTCAAGCTTTCATAATTTTAGAAATTAGACTTACCGATTTATCCATGTACGAACGGAAGTGATAAAATGTTGTAAACTCTAATATAATAATTACATCTCTCATTTTTGGAATGTATCCTGCGATAAGGTTCAATTTACTCATATTGGATATATACGAATAAACCTTCACAATCAACATAAATTACTAGTAACTTTGTGTACTGACTAAAATGAATTACTACCGATTTACATCGTTCTATATTATTGATATACAGAGAATTAATTTAGATTACCGTATTATCATTATTATCCTATCTTTCAACTTTTTGAAATTTGATGATTTAAATTTTAAAAAATTTTCTTACGTGTATTTCCATTATAGTGGCGGATACTACCGATGTTATATCGAGTACACGTACTCACCTTGAAAACGCTGCTGGTCTCAGCCCTTTAACGGATCATTCTGAGTCAAAGAAATAACATCTGTTCAAGAAAGAGTTTAGCGTTCTCAGATTTTATTTTGACATAATACTAAACATTTTCACATGACTGTATTTTTAATTGCATTCTGTTCATTCTTTGTAAACCAACTGTATTCTTGGCCTTTTTTCTACGTAAACTGAGTTCTAAAAGGCTGTATCAGCAAAAATGTGAGAACCTATTGCATTTGTATTTGCTCTTTATCCAATGTTCTTCCTTTTCATGTAACGACTTATGTTCGATGTATTTAAAGCTTTTGTCATCCCTAAACATTATTCTAAGCAATTTCAAATTCAATAAACTTGAACTATTTCCACTGAGTTCTTGTAGTTCGGTTGTTCTCTGCCTATTTACAAATCATTGTTAAATTTACCTAGGTAAAAAATCCGATTTATACTTTTTTGTGAAGATAATTACCTCTTAATCGTTTTAACTGACGGCCGTGGAACATGACTTTTAAATGTAAAATATATTCGTAGATGTCTTTGAAGCATTACTCACGTAAGTTGAGACCACCAATAATGAAGTTTGACACAGTTTACTAGGCAATGATGTAAACCCGATGATAAGATTAAATCTTCGACTATGTTGTTTGAAACATGTATTATGTATATCTAGCCACCAGTGCACGATATCGGCTCCTCAACTTCTTGGTTGGGAGAAAGTTAATGGCGATAAAACTAAAATGTAGCATCTGTCTAAGAAATCACTGATTTGTTTAACTTGGGTTACTAATTTTTTCGATGAATGCACATGAAATTTTATCATATTCACATTTTGCAACATGCACAAATTATACGGTTGACATAAATCAATGGATACGTTATAATACACTGCCATCTAATACTCATATATATGATATGATTTTTCAATGCTTTTCGATGCTTTGGACATTGTTTCTAGGCTAAATTAGTCTGTCGTTTTGATTAAATTATTTTCCTGATAAACGTTTCGATCATCGCTTGGTACATTTTCACGAAAATCCTGTACTTTAAACTCTGCACTTACAAATACTATGTGAATGTTGCAGGCATACCTATTTTGCTTAGTTCATGTGTTTCCATAATCCTGAAAGTAAAATATTTCATTTGTTTAAAGCGATTTTCTCGTATGTTATTTGCTGTCCTACTTGAAACCTTAATAAAAATGCTCTTCGCGTGTTCTGAAATGTAATAACATTCATACATAAATATCAAATTCTACTGGACACCAACAACGATTTAGATATCAGTTGATTGTAAGCAGTTATCTCATATTTCTTAACAGCCGTTAGTCATGAACATAAGATGTCTGAATTTTTAGTAGGAGCCATAAAACCATATAATGCATGTATATATAAACGTATTTCGCTCTTTTATACCTTTAAAAACGTTAACACGCACTGTTTGAACATTGATTAATGGTTGGTGTGACTGAATTTATGGTAAAAATCTCTAAAAATCATAAATTAACGTTTTGTTCGCGGATAATTTTCATGTTTCATAACTAAATGCTCTCGGCCTTCAAAGGTAAGTAGAGTTAAATAATGATTTAAAGGATAGTACTATACATTTATTGGAGTGTAGACGTATTTTGTAAACGCTGAAAAGACTCACTACTCTACTATTTCACTAATGAACACGAAGTTCCAAAAAGAGTTTAAACACTGCTTCTCCGTATGCTGTTTCATCTGGTATTAATTCTAATAAAATCAATTCCCAGTTTAACTGAAACCTGATTATCATGTAAATTACTTAAATTGTACTACTAAGAAAAAACAAATGGTCATATTATTGTATACATTTATCTGATCATCTCAAGATTTACGTGAGTTGCAATTCAATTTTCAATTTGTAGTCTTAAACGTACTTATTTTATTGCTAGTATACACTTATGATTTTATCGTTTGAATTGAATTGACACTTATCTCACAAAAAAAAACGTTTCCCAGTATGGTATATTTGCAATTTCGAGAATGTTATAACCTTAAATATCATTAACAAATAATGTAGAATTATTGCCCAATAATCATTATCAAAAAACACACCTAAGATAAATCTATATGGTTACAAACATAATTTACAGATGTCAATCAATAAACGGACAGAAGAAATAAGATATTCCTCTTGGATTTTCTTGTTTACAATTTTAGATCAATTTCACACAGTTCTTCATAATTTGGAGGAATGTTTCCACTGGTATAACCAAGTCTAGCTAATAGACTATTATCCTTATGCATAGTTGTAGTAAGATTTCTAGGTATTATTGAATCACTTTTAGACCAAGCATATAAAGATTCTTTGTGTATAGCCTTAATAAATTGAACTGAACTGGCTTCATATCTGAAATGATAGGTAAAAAAAGAAAATATCCATCACACAATGCAGTGAAATTTGTCAACAAGAATTGACACTTGATGATTAGTTTAATTTCAAGTTTTGAGAGTTCAAGTTTTCTCATATGAACCATCAGAATGTGATGTGGATATGTAGGTCAGCTTGTATGCAGGAGTACCTAAAATAGATGTATATTCTGTGTTCTTTTGACTACATAAGTGCATTAAGAGTGCTAAACTAGGCTGGAGTTGGAAGTGCTCTGTGGCTTTCAGTCGTCCCCTAGCTGATCCCACACATTTATTCAAAATACCTCCAGATTACAAACATCCCGGTAAGTTTTACTTTATTTGTAGTTAAGTTTTGATCGCAAATGGATATATTTTACGGTAAAATTGAAACCTGAGAAACAACATATTTGGTCGTAATATGATATTCTTCAGGACTGCACAGCTTTGACTCCTGTAAGTCTTGCGGTGATCCCTTGATTTTTAAACTGTAGGTTTTAAATTTTGTCACGACAATCATCCGATGCCATCTGTTCTCACTGGTGTCTCAGCTAATGTCGATTCATAACAAAATTGGTAACAGATTAATCCATTTTAAAAACCTAAGTTTCTCTTCTGTTTACGTGTTTCTCAAGTAAAAGTTGCATTCTGAACAAATCAAGTTAGTATTAGTGTAATGATCCACTTAGTACGGTAGAATTTCAATAAATGGAGTGAATAAACAGCAGATGACAATTCTAACGGTAATTTATTCATTATCTGTCAATTGTTTTCATAGTTTTCTAATTATCGAATATATATATATATATATATATATATATATATATATATATATATCATATTAAATTCTTGGATATTACAAATTAGTAAAGGGGTATTAAGATGCATTGCAGACAACATAATGATGTGGGTTTCGAATAAATACTTTTGTTACCAACGCTCCCGGAGGAGAGAAATAAAATAGAGCTTTGTCATTAGCCCTAGATATGTTTTATCTGATAATACAGTTATCTGTTCGAAGACAGACGTATATTTCACTGTCATTACTGATTAATAATCTGTCTTTGTGTGTTTTTTGAGACAAATTATGTTGCATATATTTAATAATTTACCTTGATAATATTCCAAATCAAAAGTCAAATGAGAGTGATCAATGTACACATAATATCGTGTTGAATAATCCAAAAGATGAAGGTTTTTGGTACGCTGGAAACGGTTAGCATAACAGTGCAGCTAAATCAACTTGATCCTAATATATGTTCCTTGAATGCTTAGTGAACACAAACTATCGGTAATCCACTGATATGATGCTTAAATTGAGACAACTATGTTACGCAACTAAGAAACTAGCAGAGAAATTTCGTAAACCAGAATGACCACTCAAGAACAAAGAAGGCAATCCAACAACTGAGATTCAAAAACAGATTAATAGGTGATCAGTATGCTTTGAGGAACTCTGGAATAGGCCAGCTCCATTGAATCCACCGAGCATCGAAGCAGCGGACACAAACATTGGTGTGGATGTCAACCCATCAACGATCGAAGAAATCAGGTTGGCTATCAGACAATCGGGAGTGGTAAAGCAACATGATGTGACAACATACCAGCTGAAGTACTTGAGTTGCACATAGAAATAACTTCACACATGCTCAACGTTCTATTCACGAAGATTTGGGGGTAGTTACAAGTGTCGATAGACTGGAAAGAAGAATAACTCAGCAAGATATCAGAGAAAGGAGATCTAAGTGTGAGGACTACAGAGGTATCACACTAACATGGGTACCATGAAAAGTTTTCAACAGAATGTTGTTGAACCGGATGAAAGATTCAGTCGACATCCAACTTCAAGATCAATAGGACGGATTCCGTAAGGATTGGTCGTGCACGGACGAAATCGCGACACTACGGATCATTGTTGAGAAATGAATTGAATGTAATTCGTCACTATATATCATCAGCTTTCTTGACTATTAGGCGTTTGGCATAGCGGATAAGAGAACCTTACTGAACCTTCTTCGACACTAGGTAGTGAATAGCTGAGAAAACGGTCAACATCAAACAGAGTTCATATGACGGGTTACGCTGCAACGTCGTGCATAGATGATAGCTGACAGATGCATAGGTAAACGTAACACAGATCCATCATTAGTTAAAAACATGTTAACTAAGACACCTAAACTAATGTTGTGCGACTGCACATACGCGAAGAAATATATATATATATATATATATATATATATATATATATATATATATATATATATATATATATATATATACAAGAACAGGTCAGAGGTTATCTGGTGTCAGGATTAGGGATGTGTGGTGTACTAGTTGAATGGAATTCAGAGACAGATGAGATAAGTTGTACGATAAGGCATGGAATACAGTGGACGGTTCGGAATCAACCAGATGATGTGAACTTCACAGATGATCTCGCCCTTCTATCCCCCCACACACAAAATAGCAGCCTCTGCATCAGTTGGCTTCAACATACACAAAATTTAGAGCAAGATCCTCAAATACAACACAGAAAACACTAATCAACACAATCACAGTCGATGGAGAAACTCTGGAGCAGGTGGGATATTTCACCTATCTGGACAGTATCATCGATCTACAAGGAGGATCAGATGCAGATGTAAAGGCGAAGATTGGCAAAGGAAGGGCAGCATCCCCACAGTTGTATAACATATGCAACTCAAAACAACTATCAGTCAACCAATATCAAAGTCACAATCTTCAATACGAACGTCCAGACAGTTTCACCATACGGAACAGGAACTTCGAGAACTACTAAAACTATCATCGAAATGGTACAAGTGTCTATCAACAATTGTCTACGCAAGATGCGCAATGTCTGTTGGTTGGGTGTCATCAGCAACAGCCTACTGTGGAAGCGAACACAACAGCTTCCATCTGAGGAGGAAATTAGGAAAACACGTTGGAAGTGGATAGAACATACATTACACAAATCACCAAACTTCATCACGAGGCGAGTACCGATTTGGAATCCTGAAGGGAAATGGGAAAGAGGAAGATCGAACAACACACTGTATAGGTAATCGGAGGCAGACATGAAAAGGATTGCCCTGTTTAGGGTTGGATATATGATGCTAATGGGTGGCCTATGCTCCTCCTTGATGGGTAACAGGCATAATTAAGATAAATAATTAACTGACTTGATGTGATTGAGTAGTCGATAAGCTTCGAGGCTTGTTTATTATAGTCGACCTAAGATCTAGGATTTATTCAAAAAAGATGAAAGAGCAGAATATTTTTCGAGTTCAGTTATATACATCTTTGTCTTGTCTTGCTACTAACATATCTATTGAATGGAGATTTAAATTTGCTCCCACCTAATTTTGTTTGGTTAGTAATGTCATGTATATCGTTTTCATTGATCAGTTATGATTCAAAACCTAATATATATAATGACACCCAAATGCCCTGGTATGACCGAGAGTGGGGTGGGCCCGTTTTCTCTCTCGAAATGCTCTCACATGGCTACGCGTATACAGCCTCTGCCAGGGAAGTACTACTCACTGCCTTCTCGTGGCATCACTGTTGTTTACAAAATTAAGAGGACGAAAAGCGAATGCCCGACGCTTTAACCGGATCGCAATTCAATGGTGCACATGGGCTCCAGTATCCTGCGGGAACAAATGGCGTATGAACCAATTTCTTGGTCACCGGCTTCCATGAGACTACACCTCCTCACGATACTCCACTGACTTGTGGGTTAGACCTGTAGGTCGAAGGCTCGGGGTGTGGCTCCCTGAGAAAACCACCTGCTTCGATCTGGGCACCTGGGTAGTATCTCAGCCTACACACAAATATAATGATAATGAAAATGATGATATTCACTGAAAACTCTATTTTCGCTGCGATTTACTGTCAAACAATATTCTTTTCGCCCCGATTAACAGTCAAATAACCCGTATTATTATTATTATTATTATTATTATTATTATTATTATTATTATTATTACTATTATTTACCACACAGTGGCTAGAGACGTTATCAGATATGGCTCAGAATAGAACCTCGTTGCTATCCTGCTATAACCTTCTCTTACTTTCTTCATAAAAGTTGGTTGCTTTATTCTTAACTGAAAGGTTTCTTCTGATTTCACCTTTCCGTTTCCCCCATTTTTATTATTGTTACACTACCTTACACTAATCTGTTCATTATTGCTTTTGTTACGCTCCTTACCCTATTCTTTTTTTTCTTCTCTTCAAATTCTCATTGTTTTGTGTGGTGCATATATATCTGGTGCCCTCCTGTACCAATATTTATGTGTTCAGATAAATAAATAAATAAACATTAACACTACTTTTGTTAGGTTTTTCGAATTCCGATTTCCAACAATAAAGTACGTATAAATGAACACAGACCAACAATATTTAGATGTTTAACAACTATTTAATAACGAAATTATTTGATCATAATTTAGATCATTATTAACCTACTTATTTATAATGGAAGTTTCATTAACATATTTTTCATGATTCAGTAGTTTATCATCCCATGGAAGATCTAGAAAATCTTAAAAAAATCGAAGCATTAGATTTAAATGTATAATTGTGAAAATAACAACCTTTTCTCTCACAGTGAAATAAAACATTAAGTTCTATATTTATATCAAGATGTAGTTGATCATGTTAGATTACTCTCTCATCTTCATTTCTTAATGAAGTTTGATATATTGGGATAACTTAGCAAATAAGTGTATGCTTTTTAAATATTTCAGTACTGATTCAATCCCTTATAATTATATAAGCTGTTAGGTTTCGTAATTAATGTCATTTTACGGTGAAATTAGTCTTTTGGTTAGACTAAATAACATTATCAAAGAATTAATTACAAAACTTATATTAAATCAAATATAAAAAAAGTATTCATTTTAGTATCGAAATCAGCCCTCATTATCAGACTTAAAATAAAGAATATTATGGGAAAAAATTCATTATTGTTTCACACCTTTCTAATGAAAACTTTTTGTTCGTGTGAATTAAAATAATTTCTTTTAGAATGGTTATCTGTAAAATATTCATATAAGCATGTGGTCAAGTTGAATCTTACTAAGAATTTTTTGAATCTCTCTCTTCGGTTTTATGACAAGACACTCATAACGTACAGTCATACACCGATGACTTCCAATGTGTTGGCAGTCTTCTATTATTCGTGATGTATAGGCCGTCCATTGGTTAAGTGCTTCAGGAATATTATCTGAAGTATATGTTGGATTTATTCCACGGCTGAAATAAAATAAATAGCATCAAGTTATATTCATGATTTTTAACACATACTTGTCTTCATTATTTATTTGACAGATGAACTATTAGCCAGTCAAAGACTACACCTTGTAAATCTTAATGAAAGACTGGTTGTATAAAAATTTCTACAGAAACATTCCCTCTTAACTAAATATTTGCGATCAAGAGACTATTATTGGATGAAATTATCTCATAGGAAAAGCATTATCAATTAGAGAACTGCCCTAGTAAAGGAAATCTCGACGAACATAATGACCTGATTCATTGTGAATTATAATTCTTCAGCAACAAATTTCGATGAACTACATGTATATAAACACTTAAGTTACAATTAAAATGTAATTGTACTTAATCCTCCCTGACTTTATATATATATATTAGTTTACACGTTTTTAAGTAATGATGGATATGTGTTAAGTTTACATATGCGCATACACAAGTGATTAAACGTACATTATGGTAGACATTATAGCTCCTCTTCCATCACGTACTGCATGAATGAAGTTAGCTTTCGGAAATAATTCACTTAAATACCTTAGATATATGTAAGATGATGGATCTTTATGACATAATCTATCAGCAGGTGGTCCCATATTCTTCAGTATTGATACAATGAAACCAGCAATAGCATTATCAAGTACATTTTGTGTAATACCAGATTGTGAAAGCCAATCCTGACTGTTTTGATTCTTCGGCCTAAGTCTTAATATTTCTCTTGTAACTACTGGTTCTGGACCACAACGAACCATTGGATGAACATCCAGTAGAACACGTAATAATCCAGTACCTAATAATTAAGGTGAGACAAATAAGCGATAATATAAACGTGCCAGAAGCATTTTTAGAAAAAGCTTAGTTATGTTAATGATTTATGTTCAATGTGATCAAAGAAAGAACAAGTGAGGTAACAGAAGAATACGAATTTATATTTCTCGGTTTCTCATCAGCTTCTTACCACATAAGCATAATAGTATTAATCATTAAAAATGAGCTAACATACTTGACACCATAATATCGGAAACGTTCTCGTCAGTGTAGATCAACGCAAAGAGAAATAAGTATGTAAGAACTACAAGAGTTATTTATGTGCTAAAATGATGTGAATATTTATAGGTTGAATATAAGAATATTCTAGGATAAAAAACTACAAGCAAAGAATCAAAATTATTTAAAAGTGAAATAATAATGTTATTTCACTGGTTGAAAGCATGAGTCAATCGAAGCTAGACCACCATGGAAAACCTGGAAGCACTAGACGACCGCCTCGTCCTAGTATGGGACTCCTCAGAAGTGCGCATCCATGATCTCACCCCAGGCGAGATTCGAACCCAGGACCTGTCAGTCTCGCGCGCGAGCGCTTAACCACTAGACCACTGAGTCGGCATCTAACGGTGTTAATGTCTAGGACGGAACGGCCGTCCAGTGCTTTCAGGCTTTTCATGATGGTCTAACTTAAGTTGATTCATGATTTCAACCAGCGAAATTTCCAAAATCTCCACAAAACCCCTTCTGATAATAATGTTATTGTCATGTAATCATTGAAACAAAATTAACTAACCGATTACAAATCACATACGAATGAAGATTAATGATCGCTGTCATGAGGAAAGTTCCGCAACAAAAAACTATAAGTGATGATAGAACAAGATTGATAACTGAATTCTTTCGGATGAATAAATTTGTCGACATATGACCGTCTTAGTGAGCGACTTGTTTGATACGGAAAGATCAACTTGGCAGCTGGATTCGTCCCTTTTATTATAGTTTTTAATGCGGAATCAATCTTTATAGTTATTTCATCATCCTTGAAGCCAAGTTTTAAGAAGATAAGCTTCTCAACCATAGGATGCTCCATTTCTTCCTCTTTAGTCTTCCCATACTTGAGAGCAAACGTTATCTCATGTACAACGTTCGACAGTGGCTCATTCCTCATCAGTGTTTTCTTTTGAACAAAATCTGACACGCTGGAAAGGCGTTCTAACCAAGTCTCTTTTTTGGCTTACTGGACAGAAACTATTAAAGTTTAACTTTAGTCCATTCCACATGTTTTAACCGATAAATATATCATTCTAATCGACCACTTGTATTACGCTTCACACATAACCTGTTTTGCAAGGGAACTGATAAAATTAGGTCAAACGAAGGTCAATATATTTACATTAATCTCACTGTAATTCAACCATTTAATAATTATGCATATGCTCATATGTATGCGGCTGTTTTTATGTTTATTAACTAATTTGTCAGTTCACTTACTGGTTGTAAACGCAGTCAAACAACAATTCATTGCAAATATATGCATTTTGACTGATATTCAAACAACACTACACATTTAGTGTAATTACTATAGTGTGATCTGTTTTATTTATTTACTCCTAATTAAAATCGATCCCAATTCATCTCGTAATTGATTTCTGGATTTCTCGAGTGGAGAGAATTAGACTAGATATGCATATAATGTTATGAGGTCATTTAACTTGGAGTTAGTAAAATAATAACTCAAAAGCTTCTTTGAAGTATCAGTTTTATTTGACTGGTAATGTGACTATGTACTTCTTAGTACAAACTTCTAGTTAATTGCCTGAATATTCATTGCATTGTGTATGAAATACAACTTAGCTAATCAAAATCTCAGGATAAAATTCGTCTTTTGTTCATAGAACAATTATTAAGTGACATAAATGGCTGAGGAAGCGAAATTTTGCATCAAATTTGCAGACATATTAAAAGCTTGCTTCAAGAATGTCTTATAAAGTTTAGAAAAAACTTAGAAAAGATTTTTACTCTTAGCTATCGATTTGGTCAAGAAACATTTATCTTGTCTTATATGTCCTCCCAAATAATAAGCTATGATAATATGTAAAATTAAACACAAACCTGTAATTAATACAAGATTAGCAAACAATCAGTGAAATTTTAACATTACAATAAATTAATTTAAATCATATTGATAAGTAGGATTTACAGTTTCAGTTCAAAGTTAAGCGTTTACATTACTAATGTTAGCTGGATAACTCTACGCTAATAGTTGAAAATAAATTTTTGTATAATTAACTAATTATAGTAATAGCAGATAAAATTTAGTCTAAACAGATAGCAGAATGTTCATGTCGATTAACACAAAAACCCAAATATATTCCAAGGTAAGTATGAGCTGTATGAACCAGATAATTAATTAACATAGTATACCTCGACATTTGGCATAAAAGGATTTTGTTTAGGAAAGTTTATTCATGGATGAAGAATACTTTTGGTTTTGTAAGTGTTAACGTAGTTGATAACAAGCTGAATGACATGTGTAGTGAGAAATTAATTTCATTTTTTTATCAATTTCACCAACTAAATTATATTTATTATCATCTGTCTATAAGTTTTTGAATTGCCCCGTTGTTAATGTTAAGGACTGGACTTTGATCAGTCATTTTTAGAATATCTGCATCCCGAGTGAATTACCTTAATAGAACCACTAAGTCACAAATATTTCAAGATGGATAGTGGCCAACAATAGAATCCGCGTTACCTCCCATGTAGAACTCATCATCTGGATGTACCTGTATTCCAGTGTTGTTGTTCATTCCGAGATTCAAACCTAGTACTTTTCAAGATTTGGCAATCAATGTTAAATGCGGGAAGATTCAAACACTTATAAATAATATAATAATATTTAACCCAGTTACACAATTTAGTCGATATTTGGACTAGATAGTTCAGTGGGTAACGTGTCAGTATTTAAGATTGAAGGTACTGGTTTTGATTCCTGGCGTAAAAATTAGCAAGAGTGTGGGTACATATACCTGACAAGTCTCAAACAGAGTTAAAATCACATCCTGGATTTTACTGCTAGCCAATATCTATCTTTATTTCAAATTATACTAATTTCAGGAACTTATTATATTAAAACTGCCTATTTAGATGCTGAGGTTTATTGAAAAAATCATTCATTAGGATAACAAAAAAGCTACTTACTTATTTGAGTACAATACTTTGTTCTACTGTGCTGAGCGAGAGCACAAGTGGGGACAACCGAATGTATTTGAACACAAAATTACAGAATCTCTTAGTAAAATCTGACAACTATACAGTAAATACTTCATTGCAAAATATCAGTCAGTCGTCTCAGACTTGACTGTTCCTTCATTTCCACAGCGATGTTTCTCTGTTCTCGTTCTCTTTTCTTAGATCTTCTTAACCTTCTGCCACCAGGTATTTCACTTTCGATTCATGATACATACTACTTATATCTATCGACATCAATAGCATACAACACACTACCTGACCGCAAATGTAAATGCTACTTTATTAAACTAAGTTCTCTTCTGAAAACCGGACGCATTTTATAGTCTCTTTATGCGTTGGAGTCCTAAACAGTAATAGTGACTCTCATTAACTATTGAACCTAAATGTAATGAGAATATCAATCTGGACCTTAGGGATGAAATTATATAACGTTTCTTCCAAACGAAAAATGAAACATCTACTAAACAAAAGCACACATAATGTTCAAGATATTTGACTTTCTTAACTCTCCGTAGTTAATTTTATGCTGCTTATTACTGTTAATACTATGGTTACAAAATCTATAACTATTATTGAAATTTCTTTCACCTCTGATTATGCATCATTCACGTATCTTATACTGAACATTATTCACAACTCTGTCAAAAATATCCAGTCAAAAAACTTCATTAACGTTCGTTCAAATAATTTACTCTCATGTTTTTAGTGTTATTTCTGTTGTATCAACCTGATCATATGTGTACATTGATGGGAAGTCTGTAGTGATTTCCAGAATTTATAATAATAATAGTTATTATTATTATTAGTGACTTATGGCATTGAAATACTCATGCCAGTTAACGCAAATGAGATGATCTGGAGAATTCCATTTTCTAGAGCTATACTCTATTACTAACACTGAAAAATTCGGTTGGGCTTGAATTAATGAGAAGAAATGGCTATGAAATGTTAATATTACTGTAATTCAGACATAGAAAACCACAGCTGAGCTAATTAACTGCTATTTAACTCATTGTGCTTAAAATACAAATTCTTCTACAAGTATTATATTCATCCTCAGTCACTGATAAAATATGACGTTTATAAGTAGTAAATTGTATAAACAGTGGAATTGTTCCTAAATTTCCGTTTAGAAAAAAGGTCTTTGTGCTAAAACAACTTAATTTAAGCAGACACGATTAACTTGAATAATTTAAGTATAGTGGAGACTTCCGGTGCTCATGTATTTAAAATTTGAGTTTAACCAACTCTTACAATTGTTTTAAATGTTTATAAATTAACTGATATCGTTTCTTAGGGTCAAATGTAGTACATTTCTAATGTTTTACTACCATTTACAATCTAACTAAATGAATATGTCCAAAACTAATCAATTATAAACGCATTTTTTAATACTTAAGTGGAAAATAGCTGTTGGTACATACTCCCTCATTCCTCATACTTTGTAAATTATCAATTAGTATTTCTTTCTTAAAGGTAGGGTGTAAATTACTAGGTTTCGTGTGCAATACAATACTCATTTAGTAAGTGCAATAACACTACTTGTAAATGAATAACTTATTTATATAATGCCATACTAAAAATAGGGGTAATCTAACTTCACCACACTATTAAACGTGATATGTATGATACTACCATATACAAAATATAACTAGTATTTTAATAAAATTATTTACCTGAACTTTGATGACCTCCAATAAATATCAACGGTAGATTGCGTAAATCATCATCAACAGATAATTTCGGGATTTCTTCTAATTTATCTGTTGTTTGTGTTAATTCAGGTTGATTATGAATAATGTATTTTGAAATGATAAATAAAGCCCATATGCATACAAAGCATAATGCAAATAACTTTACTGCACTGTTTACACCTAATAATAAAATACCATATGTAAACAATTTATTTCAATATACAGGAATATTTTATCTTATTTGACGAAATCTATATTACTACTCAAAAACAAAAAAAGTTTCAAGATGACAACTAATATTATTCTTGAATAGCCTAACTTAACTTGATGTCAGTTGAAAGAATAGTTGATGACACATATCTTTACTCTAAAAGCTTCAAGTTTATCTCATGTAAAATGTATCAATTTTTGAATACAAGAGATAATTTCTAATGATCGTTTATTTTTCAACTACAAACTTGTTATGACTAAATGCATTTTTATCTGGGCAACGTAAAATAAATCAATGGAAAACGTGACCACTAATTTTTTTATAGTATTAACTGAAAATATAATTTAAAACAAATATATCCGTGTTTACTGTTTTAAAGATTACTGAATGTTGTCAGTTGTTAGGATCATCCTTCAGCCTTATGAAACATTTGTTCAATATCATATGAATTTATGTGGTATCTCTGATGATGTTAATTCATTTTGTAAATCGTCCCAAATCATTATATCCTTGACATTTATCGAATAGGTATAGTTTCAGATCATTTAATATTATGGGTTTCAAGTAGAAAGTATCAAAGTAAGGAAAACAATAAAACCATACCAGTTGTAACTTATCGTTAACCAAACTATTTTGGGTAGTGGTTACCGCTGAATTTAGATCTACGATTAAAATATAACGTAAAATTTGAATTTCTTCATATAGTTTGTCAGACACAGCTATTCGTGTAAAGTGTCGTTCGTATAAAAAAGGGACATTATTAAATCGATTTTATTGTTATGAGATTATGAATTAAGGGTGTCTAAAAATCTTCTTTTAAAATAAGCATTGTTGTAAGTATATAATTTATTCTCTATACACTATTGCTAGATTCGTTTTAGTTGTAACGATTTGTGTATTAAGAACAGTAGGCCAAACAGTTTGTGTATTTTATTCTTCATTCAATGAGAATCGAACCTTTAAACTGATCATTACACTTTAACACAGGTTTTGAGTAATAATATGTTTACAATAACTTTGAATTTGATATCGTTTCATAAAATAGGTTTGTATATGAATGAAATCATATCTTTATTAAAACTTTTGCAATCTAACGTATTAGTCAATGAATGAACATCAATTATTTAATGAGTTATTTCTATCAACTTAAATGACGCAAGTATCACAATAATATTTATTATATGTAATAGAAAAAGACCTAACATTTAACATATGTTTCTAGATATACCTAAATAAGCATAAATCTTTTTTTATATATAGTATTACTATTATTTATTTCACAAGTAAACCACTTAAAGATATTAAGGTTAGATTACTCACAAATTAGTTATCAATAAGTTCATGTATATTTAAACTGCAATTTAATTAACATCTAATCTTCTTCTTTAAACAGTGATTTTTTAAACTCTTGACTTTTAATTTTATTTAAAATTGTCAGTGTTCTGTTAAAGATCTCAATAAAAAACTTAATAATCTTCACAACTCATACTAATAATTACAATGTGCTCACTATTGACTAGCTTTGTAAGGGAATTCTTGGAGTTCCAATGAGAAGCGGTGACCAGTGGAGCTAATCCGTGTCGGGTGAAGATAGGTATCTACTTCAGTACAATAGAAGATGGTCGCGCAATTTCGTGGATTGGTTGAGGTTAGACATTAACACAGTTAGATACCGGCTCACGCGCATAGGTCGAAGGTCCTGGGTTAGAACCCCGTAGCGGGATTGTGGATGCTCACTGCTGAGGAGCCCTACAATAGTATGAAACAGTCTAACATTAATCGATTCATTATCTTAATCAAAAATTAAACGCACAGCTTACTCACGTAGGTAATAATAACTTCAATTAGATTGTGGTTATCAACTTAAAATATATTTTGTCATCTATAACAAACATTTTAATATTAACATTTAAGTTTAAATAAATTGTAAATAAAATATTATCCAGTATCGGAAAAGCTAAAAGTGGTTTCGCATTTAATAAAACTAGACAATAATTGGTTAAATTCCTTGTAGATTTAGTAATGTGTTCTGATGAAGATTCTCCCATAGTTTGATAAAAACGCAGGCTTTCAATAGTTCTTAGAATAACATGAATCCGTAATGAAAACTACTCACAAATAAAAAAAATATTGTCAAGATCACATTCATGTGACTTATCATTAAAGTTATTCCGTTTACGTTTATTTTTAATTAAAAGAAATCGTACACAGGAATCCAGTTCAGAACCTTCGATCTTCTACACGCATACTTAACCTAAAAACCACTGAGCGAGTATCTGACGCTGTAAATGTCTCACTTCAATCAACTCACGATATTGCTGAAACCTGATCCATTGACTGCAGTGGATAGCTATCTCATACATAACATGGATAAAACTTAACTAGTTATAGTTCACTAAAACTCTAAGAATTACATCTTATCACAATATGATTTTTGAAAAAATGTCCACAGAATTAATGCAGTATGAATCTCATATTCAGTATAAATGGATTAAATTAAGTAATTGAAAAATACTTACCATTAATTAGCTTACATTGATGCATTTATTATTAATCCGTCAATGGTTTATGATTATGTGACAGGAATAATTCTTTATCAATGGTAATTTACTAAAATGTTATTTATTTTGTCAATGATATTACAGTATCATGATTAATCTTCTACTTACTTGGTATATATTTATAAAGAATATAATAACCAACAATTGTTCAGATGCTTTTGACCTTAATTTTATTGGTTTTCCATTGAACACAATTATTTATTTACATACTGAAAAAAATTGTTTGTTTACACTTTTAACTCATTTAATTGGAAATATAGACACATATTGCTCATATATGTTTATCTTCAAATATAACATTGAAGCATTATACATAAAAATGTCCTTTTTTGTAAATGAACATATGATGGTGTATCATAAAAGTATCATAAATTCTAAAGTTTTGAGATAATAAATAAAATTGAGAACAAGTTCACAATAAAAATAGTTTTCTAATAATAATAATAATAACGATAACAATAATAATAGTAATAGTAGTAGTAATAGTAGTAACAATAGTAATAATAATGATAGATATTTTCTTAAATCCTTAAATTTATGATGAAATCAATAATATTATTTATTTTTTCGGAATTTGTTAAAATTAGAAATTTAATTAAAGTAACAAATTCTAACAAACTTTCACTGACCTAATTAACTGGATGTTGTAAGTTCTATTTCACAATAATCGTTTAATAAGGATTCGTGAGTAAATATTCGTTGAGTTTTTCAGAAATAACATAACCAATTGTGGTATAGAATAAGAAAAAAGAATTCAGCAAAAACTACTATTGTCAGGATATAGTTTGGATACAAAATACTGAAGAACTGAATTGTATTAGATAGTACACTTATTCAAACTAGGAAAAGATTGTTGCCAGGATCTTTACGATAGTTGGCATAAGGTAGATGACCGAAATCTATGATTGATTGACCGAATGATCATATACATCATGTAAATGACCTACATTTTGTTGGCCAAAAGGTAAGAATGACAACATGAGTTGTACAGTTTACAAAGTCAGTTTGTTCTTCACACGTTAAGTGTGATTCACATATTTTTATCGGGTTGAATACAATAAAATTATGATCATAATTGACGACCATGTTCTTGTTAAGAAGTTCTTTTTCAAATTTCAGACCATTTTTAACTAAATTAAAGTCCTAATGTTAACACTGAGACTCATTAGCATATGATAAAATTCACTAACGTTTAAAATAACATGTACTGAATTCACATCTTAGTGCGGACATAAACACTGATATATAAATACAATCAATGGACGAGTTCTAAATACAATAAAACGCATATCTTAGACTCGAATACTGACCATCATTGAACTCACTTATTTACTTACTTACGCCTGTTACTTCCAGTGGAGCAATGGGCCGCCGACCAGCATTCTCCAACCCACTCTGTCCCATGCCTTCTTTTCTAGTTTCATCCAATTCTTGTTCATTTTTCTCATGTCTATCTCCATTTCTCGACGTAATCTGTTCTTTGGTCTTCCTCTTCTCCTTTGGCCCTGAGGATTCTAAGTGATGGCCTACATTGTGATGCGGTTGGGTGCTTTCCTTTATTTGTGTCCTATACACTTCCAGCGCTAACCAGAAAAAATAATTCAAATCATTAAACTACATTAAAACATATTATATTATGAAGTCAAATTGTTATCTGGTAAGTTTGACCATATTACTCTTATTAATTGAGAATGGATGATTAATTATTCAATAATGGAAGAACATGTCTGGTCGTTTAATCAAGTTAATAAATAAGATATTGAGTGTCATCAATTAATGAATTCCATTTTTTTTTCTAAAATTATCGCCATCACAGAGATGTCGACCATTAATTCATGTCTTACAACACCTCAATTGATCATTTCAGATTTGTTAGATTAATATACGTAATTGTACTAAATTAGCAAATAATAATTAGGTTATAATCAATGATTATAAAATATAATTCACTTTTTATGGATGATTGTTTATACATTTTCTACTGAGTAATAACTGTGTCAAGATAAAAGTACTTACTGTCATATTCTTCATATTGTTTAACAAGACTAATAGTGTTATCAGTCATTTTAGTGAGCCGTTTAAATATTTTCCAGGAGAAATAAATACCATGTCAATGTAACTATTTGTATGCAGATAATTATTAGGAGGAATATGTTAAGTGTCAACTTTCATTTAAATAAACGTAGGATTCATGTTAGGAGGTGGTTGGAGGTAGTCGACGGGAAACCCTGGATCCGAGTTTCGAGCTGCTTGGCACTTGCCAGCATGGTGTACCTCTAATCTCGAGGGAACTGATGCTTCCTGGCGGATTCGATCCTGTATCACCCGGCTTCACCGTCAGGGACGTTACTACTGAGCTATCCGGGCCGCGACCGACCTCCTGTAGGACTGTGATGTAATAACAATTGATTGTTTACTGGGTGGTGATCAATGTCATGTGTGTCAAGTCCTTCTTAGTGCAGACCGAATGCTATCGACCAAGTTGCAATGTGGCCACCAATCAAGGTGGCACGGGATCGAATCCGTCGGGGAGCACCAGTTCCCTTAAGATTACAGGTACACCTTGCTGACGAGTGCCAAGTAGCACGAAACCCAGGTCCAGGGTTTCCTGTAGACTACCTCCGACCACCACCTAATCTCAACATAGTGCACGCAGTGTCAATTTACGTAAACTGGTTGCCACATTGCAACTTGGTCGATAGCATTCGATCTTCATTAAGAAGGACTTGACACACATGACATTGATCACCACCCAGTGATCAATCAATTGTAGGATTCATGTCTCCATAATAATGACTAGCTTTTATGTTATATACTTGGAAAAAATGTTTGTTCTTCAACACTTTATGTGATAAGTTTCAGACTTATGTCATGTGAGTTATATATCTTGATATTATCAATGACAGTTTTTAATGTAATCAATTAGTTTTTTTATGACGACAAAGTTGTATTGTCGTTTCTATGTAAAGCCCATATAGCTTGTCATACCTTCCGGACAAGCCAATTTATTCATTCTTCTGGAATCACACTTTTACTCTGTTATTTATTTCCTTATTAATCCTGTTTTTTTATATGATCGTATGTGTGTAAATTGCTTACCCTACTCATTGTGTGTCTGTATCTTATTTTTGTCTGACCACAAAATTGATTCACGCTTGGTTAAATCGACTTAGCTCACTCTGCTTCTCCATTGTGCGTCATTTTATTTTGCCTTGTTTTCAGATCAACGATTGTACGAAACATACGCATCCATTCTCGTATTTGAATTATTTAATTCCATTATTCGCCAACGCGATTTAAGTCGATATTTATATGTGAGGATTGGCGCCATGTATATATCGATAGCAATCAGAATTGATCTACTTGGTGTCAGATCTCGGGTCACTAAAACGTCATCTGGAAACGTTTCTTTTAATTTGATATTCTCTTATAATCTTGTAAATAATTAGGATTTTTTATTTACTTGGCTTCGAGACAGATACAATAGTAAGGATTCATTGCATATTATTTTGTGACCATAAAGCATTTCAGTGCAGTAAGTTAAAATAACCATTTCAAAATACGGTTCATAATTGGTGAATAATCAAGAAATTTGAAATACCTACATTGTAGTTTGTCGATAGATGATTTTAACACATTTTCTCTTCTGGATGGCAATTCTATGCTGTAAATTGTTTAATAGACAATTACAATGATAAGCTTATAATAGAATGAAGGTTACATTTTGTGGCTTATTCTGTATGAAGATCTAATAATATTTGATCTAAAGTGTCTATGAAACTTGCTTAAATTAATTTATTTATAGCATCTATGATGTAGGTGCCGATTTCTGATTCTAAAATAACCCTCTATTGCTATGACAATGTGGAAGTTAAAGTGACTTCATTACATCTCTTTTCTGTTACTTTTATAAAGTATAGTTAATAAATGTGTTATGTTTGAAGCGATTACCAGTTCACCTAATCTGAGAACGGAATGAAGACTGTGACAAAACGACCGATAAGCTAGCTATTCCGATGTGTCCTAACCCCGCTAACTAGAGAGAGATTGCCAAGTTCAATTTCATTTAAGTTAGATATTTGATTATCCCTTATTTTATAAAATCAGTCTAAAATTATTTCAATGATACTTCCTGTAAAAAATTTACCGAATTTTCATTTCACTACTTATTCACGTTATGATAAAATTTACATTAAAACTATCTAACAATTTAATCACCATAGTACTAACTAATAGTTAATTGAGTAATGATTAAAAATAATTTGGAAATGAAACAAGCAGATATACATTCACTTGGTGTTGTTTTACTTGTATCTTCCCATTATCATTTAGGACTGCAGTTGATCAGTCTCATGTTGGCATGTGTGCATCCTGTGCGGATTGCCTCGATGTAGCCTTAAATCATAAGCTTTTTTAAGCAAAGATGGATAGAAGCTAGCAGTGGAATCCAGGACGCACGTTTCGTATTATTTGGGACTCGTCCATCTTTGCTTAAAAAAAGCTTGTGACTTAAGGTTATATCGAGGCAACCGCACAGGATGCACACATGCCAACATGAGACTGATCAATTGCAGTCCTAAATGACAATGGGAAGATACAAGTAAAACAACACAAAGTGAATTTAAACTTCACCCCATTGCACAAGCAGTTGGCTATCAGGATTCAATAGCTAAGTGTATAACTCTACGGCGTTTGAAGCGAACGGTGCTGGGTTAGAGTTCCAGAGTGAACAACAACTCTATGATGCAGGTACATCCAGTTGACGAGTCCCAAATGGGACGAAAACGAGTGTCATGGATTCCACTTTTAGCCACTATCCATCATTGCTTAAAAAAAGCAGATATATATATTATAAAATAGTTTTTACATTTACGGTATTTATTACCTAATTCAGTACTGTCAATATTTTTTAATAATAAACATCAAAATAGAAATTTAAACAAAAATATTAACAGACATTCTATTAATTTAAACGATGAAACT